GCAGAGTGGGAGAAAGAGAGATAAATTAAACCAAACCTTTTTACATACACACAATATATATATATATATATATCATTACACAACAGATTCTGCCTAAAAGAAAGGTTAGTTAGTGTTTAAAACATTAATCTGATTCGTCTCTGTTTTTTTTTTTCTTAAATGGCTAATTAGTCTATGTTTCTTTTGATAACAGAAACATGACTACGAACTTAACGGCGATCACCGAATCAAAGCCTTCGGAGATAGTATTAGCGAGATGCGAATGTTGCTGTATGACGGAGGAGTACACGGCGGAGTATATCGGAAGCGTAAGGAATATTTACGCGGGAAAGTTTATCTGTGGTCTCTGTTCCGAAGCGGTAGAGTACGAGATCATGCGTTGTCGCGGTCGGATCGGAGTCGACGAGGCTTTGGCCATTCACATGAACCTCTGCGGCGAGTTTGTTTCTTCGCCGTCTCCAAAGGTTGATTTAATATCGGCGATCGGAGAGATGTTCAGGAGAAGGCTAATTCTGAACTTGCCGATGGTCGTGACGTCCGCAGCAACGGCGTCTCCGAGGAGTATTCCTGAAGGTGGAGAGATCTGTGCTGCGGCGGTGATTGGTGGAAGCTGTTTAGCTGCTTTGTCCGGAGGTGCGTAGAAATAGAATGGAATATTCTTTTTCCGGCAAGGTATCTAATTAGAAAAGTGTGCGCGCGGGTGTGTGATAATTAGAGAAAGATATTGTTTTATTCAAAATTTCGAGAAAATAATATAAAATGAAAATACAGCTGTAAAATAAAAAAGGAAATGTACATTGAAAATCATTCGAGAAGATTTTATTTAGGTATTGGTTTGACTGTATATATTTTTCATAACATGACAATGTCAATTTCTTAAATATGGGTGATTAAATATTTAAATATATCAACTTTTCAATTTTCTAATTTGTTTTTAGCTAAGATTTAGGAAGCCACTAGAAAGATTTTGACAAAAAATAAAAGACACTAGGAAAAGAAAAGATGTAATAATTAGGAAGTTCCTAATTATTGTTGACATTATATGATTTAGATTTGTTTTCGTGATTAAGTGGATCCTTATTACGACCGTTGCATGTGCGAATGCCAAATGGATTAGGTGATAAGATGATTCGTACAGTCAGATTGGATTTTCGGTAAGGACCTAATCATTCTTAATATGGTCTTAAAAGTCTTCTTCAGTAATCATTAATCGGATACCTCTCAGTAAAAAAAAAAATTAGATGAAAAAAGAGAAAGAGAAAGATTCTAGGTTCCACTCTAATTTTAAAGAAATTTAAGATATATATTTAGCCAACTTCGTCGAAAGAAACGTTTTTGCGTTACCCATAAACGAATAATGCTTCGTATTATGCTCTACAAAATGTATATTCAAAGACATGAGTTTCTTGTATCTTACGTATACTTGGATTTTTATTTATTTATTGTATAGTTTGACAAAAACAATTATACATATATATTACTTGTGTATTTATTATTTGATATGTACATAATGGGTATACAAACCGTTATGTGTATACATACATATCTACTCAGCATCAGCATCAGTGCATCACTGCATCAGCATCTTGAAATGGTATGACTGATAAGAATAACATCAGGAAACGATTTATATTACACGCATAACATTAGTCGAAATGGTATTATTATTATTATTGTTATTGCGTTGCGTGTCATCATTTTTAAAGTTTGAAACAGGTACGACACAAAGGATCCGAGATCTGAGCCAACATAGCATTAACCGGTAAATGACTTCTCCGAGAATCTAACCGAAGTTGATGCCTTGCGCTAGAGGTAACTCGTTTCCATAGTTGATCGTACTGTCAAAAGATAAATGGAACGAATTTAACAATCAAATCTCAAACCGGACACTAAGAAGAAACAAGGGAAAGTTTAATAGAAATTTTACCAAGTGGATCTACGCATGTACTGTTTCCATGAGTCGCTTCCAGCTTCACGACCACCACCAGTTGCTTTCTCGCCTCCAAAAGCTCCGCCAATCTCAGCTCCATTCGTCGGTATGTTCACATTCACGATGCCACAATCACTTCCCAGTGGTCTAGTAGTTAAAAACCATCACAGTGAAATTTATTTCAGTAATTTAACCGGAAAGGTTCAGACGAGTTTTTTTTATTTTCACTTTCTTCTAGCACCTACCCGATCCACTTGAAGATGTTTTCGGGTTTGCGAGTGAATATAGAGCTGCTTAGACCTTGAGGAACCGAGTTGTTTATCGCAACAGCTTCTTCAAATGACTGTCCACAAGAAAAAATATCTTTTAAGGTCTATTTCTGAAGAAAGTGGTTGACTTAAGCTAGGGAGTGCTTATTACCTTAAACTTTAGAACATAGAGAACTGGAGCAAAGAGCTCTTCTTTAACAACAATAGCATCAGATGATATCTCGATTATCGTAGGCTCCACAAAGTTTCCTTCACCTTCAACTGCTTTACCGCCCGTTAGTATTTTACCTCCCTGCATATGCGAGAAAAAAGTGAAAGTTGGGAAGCTGTAACATTTTTAGAGGTTTTTAGTATACATTAAAGCATATAGAATGTGAGGTACTTGCCTGGGATTTGATGACTTCGATTCCTTTCTCAAAGTTCTTCTTTGATTCAGGAGTATGTAATGGTCCTAACAATGTCCCTTTCTCAAGAGGATTACCGATTTTGACTTGTTTGTATGAAGTAAGCAGTTGCTCGAGTACTTTGTCATAGATACTCTCATGCAAAAGCTTTAAAAGACAGGAACAACATTTAAAGAATTGATCAAAGGGAAATGTAGTAGCAGCAAAACTACAAGGGGATAAAAAAAAATTACCAGCCTACGGCAAGTTGTACAACGTTGACCAGCAGTTCCAACAGCAGCAAATAGAACTGACCGAGCCGCTAACTGTATGTCAGCATCATCCATGACTATGATTGCATTGTTTCCACTCAATTCAAGCAAAGTTTTTCCAGATCTTGCACTCACTGTTTGTTGTACCGTTAAACCCACCTATGCATAATCAAAATATTTAAACAGGACACAGTGATGAACAGGCTCACTTGGGTAGTGGATTATAGTAAAAGTAGTACCTTGGAGCTTCCAGTAAAGGATACTAAGGGAATGCGTTTGTCTTTGGCTATTGCTTCACCAATTTCAGCCCCACCACACATGGCCGTAAAAATGGCACCTGGTAAATTGTTCTTCTCTAAAACTTCAGCCACTAGCTTGGTCATTGCGATAGTTATCAACGGTGTAGTTGGAGCACCTTTCCTGTGGAATCACATGTATTAACTACACTAATCTAAATTTTCATTGTCAACATTGATGTTATATAACTATTATGCATTCTCTCAGCAATATGTCAAATGTTTATGCAACATTGATGATCAGGTAGAGAATAGATAAGAAAGTAATTGTAAACAGTATATAACGTTAATTCAGCTTCTTGTAGTACTTTTTAACCCCTTAAAGTAGTTACTAGGGTGAACTTCATAGCACAATTAGGAGTCAAATTCGTTATTTACCAGACTACACAGTTTCCGCAGACCAGCGCAATGCAAGCATTCCAACCTGCAACAACACAAAAGTGTACATATACTTCAGGAAAGGAACGCAGACACACAAACTTTTTCGTATTCCATTATCAATTATAGAACTTCTCAACGTAACTAAATCGTAATGTGGCAAATCTAGATGCTACAGTAAGAATAGGTTCAACAAACTCTATTTCGTCCACTTTCATGTGGGAATAAGTCAAATCAGATAAGAAGCATGGCAGACTTTAATGAGCAATATCACGAGACAACTCAATGTTATATCAGTATTTTGTTTTTTGAGGCACAAGCTCTGAAATTGGATACAAGACTTACCAAGTACTGCACATGGAAAATTAAACGCTGTGATAACACCAACAATGCCAAGAGGATTCCACATCTGTGTTACAGTATCCAAGCAGTATGTTAATTTTTCCCTAAGCGAAGTATAAAACAAAACTCCTAAGAAAGAAACTCGCAATCACCTCCAACATCATGTGTTCTGGGCCTGCAACGAAGAAATGAAATGAGTTTAGTAAAATAACACCTTTCGGTAAGATATGGAAAACAGGAAAACACATCTCCAAATCCAAGAGCCTTTAAGTAACTTAGGAGAATATTTGTTATATAATTCTAGCAGGTGCCATTAAGAAGAAGCCAAACTCACGTTCTGAAGGTATAACTGATCCATTGAGTTGTCGGCTCAAACCCACAGCAAAGTCACACATGTCAATCACTTCCTGCAAAGGTTACACTAAATGTGTTATTTGAAGCCATATGAGAAAGATGCCCTTCAGTTTTATATTAGCAAAATATGATGCATATCATACTTTCCCTTTTATTGTAAAATGCGTCACAAAGTATTCACTAAAAATATGTTGAAAGCATCAATTAGTTTATACGAAGCTTTGCAGAGCAAAGATAGAGTACCTGAACTTCTCCAATTCCTTCAGCAAGGATCTTTCCCATTTCAAGGGAAAGGAGACGGCCAAGATAGTCAAGTTTTGATCTTAGTGCATCTCCAATCTGCCTCACAATATCACCTCTCTTTGGAGCCGTAACCTGTACCGATGCTTGGTAAGCAAATTTTGCTTCAAGAAATTTGGAAGCAATACGCTTTAATAAAGTAAGTAAATAAACCTGCATCCATATCTTTGCTGCTTCCTCGCAAGCTTTCAAACCTTGCTCGTAATCTTCTAAAGAAGCTTCCACAACTTGAGCAATTGGCTGCATCAGTCAAAAAAAGTGATTACTGAGCAAACAGTAAAACAACACTAATCCAGCTTGTGACAAGAACAAGAATCACAGGTCTTAATATAGTTAGTTAGTTAATTAGCCCCAACTTGATTTGATCATTCTCTTATGCAAGAAGAGGAAGATAGAACCTGATTGTTAGCAGGATTTAAAGTGGAAACAAGAGGTCCGTTTGCTTGCCATTTGCCAGCAACGTAACAGCCCAAGTTGTGAGAAGTCAACCCAATCTCGCTCAGAAACTCGTACTCTTTGTTGTTCGCTGAACCCATCTCTGCCCCCAAAAATTCATGGATTAATAGGAAACGGAATTGATGTAACGAAACCCACAAGAGAACTCTCAAGGATCAGAGAAAATTACCTGATGATTCTTGATCGTATCGAAGAAGTGAGGCTTCGGGTTTAGCTCAGATCACGGAAGCTTTTAAAAGGGGAGTGAGAGAGAGAGAGAGAGAGAGAGACGTGTACGTCTTTGGGCAAAAAGAGAGCTTCAACAACAGCGATTGATTATTGGACTGAAGGCGATAGCTGAGCTGCTGTGTCCATCCCTTTACCACTTTTTATGTTTTTGGCTTCATCCGTATGTGTATATACTATAGTTAATTAATATGGTTTTGTCACGTGTCCTATGCTTTCGTTTTCCGGGCCGGAATAAACCCGATCAGGATACGGATTAAGCAAGCCAAGAGACAGAGACAGAGGAAGAGGATCGGAGTTGTTGTTGTTATCGCCATTGCCACGATTACCATCTTTTCCATTTCTCCTTACCAGGCCTTTATGGCCCGGCCCATTAAAATTATGTGCAATATAAACGGCTTTAACACTCATTATGTAGAGAGAATAGGCGAAAGACCAAATTATGTATGAAATATGCTTTAACTGATATGGTCTCTCACTCTCGACCAAGTTATTCTTATATACTTTGATCAGTTTAATGACGAATTTGTCATGAATCACATTGAGATCTAACTCAAAGTTGAGATCACATATGAGAATCAATCACAAGTCACCTTTCAAGTGTCCTCCCGATTGATTTTTCGAAGCTTTTCCTCTTTCTAGAATTCTATCTTTTGTGTAAGTCGTTATAAAGATTTTGTATTGGTTCACATATTAGTTCAACCGCCATGACTCCCATTGATTAATAGATTAGTCAAGCCACTTATGATGACCAAATGAAAAATATTAGTAATAACATATTATGCCGGCTTTATGATTCCTAAGAGAAAACATTAATGGATTCTACTAATGACCAAGTGGGAGACTTTGAGGAATAATTTCCTTCCCCTATTATGTGGTTTTGAGTTATCTTTTCTCTATGGAATAATGTTATTCTTTAATATATTTGGTAACTTCTTAAATAGATAATGAATGAGTTTTTTCCTAATTAATCTCTACTTTGATGAATGGTTAAGATTAAATTTTAAGAAAACCCTAAAGAGGAAATATGCCTTTAGTCCATCATAAAAACATCCAAAAAAAGAAATCACAAACACAACACATAAAGTAAGTTTATAGGCAAGGGAAGAGAAACCTAATCACCTAACTAAAAAGATCAAAACTTCAGAAAATCATCAAGAATCTAAGTTACAATGAATGGAGATACTCTGCTAACCCTCCTTCTAAGTTTATCATGTGATTAATCATGTTGCTTAAAATATCTTAGGATTCATGTAAATTGCACTTACACCAAGAACCAAATATAAACCAGTTCCAAATCTGAACACAATGACGGTGAAGACAAAAACCAAAACATGTTTCGTTTATGTTGTTCAACTCTTGGGTCTCAACATTAAGAGGAAGCAGAACCAAACCTCAACTGCTAACTTATTCGTTTGTGTTTGAGAACAAGACCCTTGGAGTTAACTTTAAGCTAAAAAAAAAGTTTCCCGGTTGACTTTGGTTTATAATAACGTGTTTCGGGTCAAATAAACCCACCCGATAATGATGCTAATTAAGCAAGTTAAGAATCCGACGGACACGAGTGATTCTCACCGATCGATCTTGCCGTGAGGACTAAGGAGAAAACGCTTTACTGATCAAAGATCACGACGATTCATATCGGTGAGCAACTCAACCTTCGATTCAATCCAAACCATAATCCTAGGGTTTCAAAATTTCTCACTTTGGTTTGAAACCCTAGGCTCTGGTTCGTTTTACCAATTTGTCGCATGATCTATGGCGGGTAAATTGTGTTGATACGATACAAGGTCCGGATTTGGAGAATGAGAGCTGTGAATTTCATGTATAGCTCGAGCAATCCCAGATTTCGAGGGATTTTTAATGGGCTTTGCGCTGTAATTTTATTAGTCTTCTTCTTCGATCAGAGCAATACATTCAGGAACCCTTTATTAAAGAATCTGTCTTTCGGTGATGGTAGTGGCAGAGGATTGGTTTCCCAAGGTCAATTTAGTAATGGGTTTAGCAAGTTTACTGTAATTCGTCGACATATGATGAGTGAAGTTGACACTCGTGGTTCTTCTGGTGGTAATAACAGCTTGAGTGGTGATAGTACTGTATCGTGCTCTTGGTTGCATGAACACAGAGGTTATGCTGATCAGTGTGAGTTCTTGAAATCGAACCCGATTTGTTCTCCAGATGGGTTCTTTGATTATCTCAACTTCTTTTACTGTACCTGCAGAGATTTTAAGATCTTGGGTTATATTGTGTTAGGAGTTTGGCTTGTTGCTCTGTTTTATCTCTTGGGTAATACTGCTGCTGATTACTTTTGTTGTTCGTTGGAGAAGCTTTCTAAGCTTTTGAAGTTGCCTCCAACTGTTGCTGGTGTTACTCTGCTTCCACTTGGTAACGGAGCGCCTGATGTGTTTGCGAGTATAGCTGCTTTCGTTGGTTCAGATAAAGGGGAAGTTGGTCTTAACAGCGTCTTGGGTGGTGCGGTGTTTGTAACTTGTGTTGTTGCTGGGATTGTTTCTCTTTGTGTTGCGGATCAAGAAGTTAAGATCGATAAGAAATGTTTCATCAGAGACTTGAGTTTCTTCCTTTTCACACTGGTGGCTTTGATGGTTATTTTGATGGTTGGTAAGGTGACTGTGGGTATAGCCATTGCGTTTGTCTCTATCTATGTACTTTATGCTTTTCTCGTGGCTGCGAATGAGATTTTGAGGAAACATTCGAGGAGGTTGAAACTGGATTCTTTTACGCCTTTGCTCCCGATGCAAGGAAGTGTGTTCTCCCCAAGTGTTGAGGAGGATATTCCTATGTACAGCTCATTGCTAGAACTTGACACCGAGGAAGGTCCACCTCGGCTGCATGATTCTCTACCACAGTGGATGTGGGCTACTAATGTAGCCATCTATTCAAACCATTTCGCAAAAGCCAATGTGCATGATGACGAAAGACCTCCATGGGGATGGACCGAAGATGGTGCAGAAGTCGAGAGCTCGTTGTTTTTGAAAGTCACGTCCATGTTTGAAATGCCATTGACGGTTCCTAGACGGCTGACAATCCCTTTAATCGAGGAAGATAGGTGGTCAAAGACATATGCTGTGGCTAGTGTATCATTAGCTCCTGTCCTTCTTTCCTTTCTTTGGAGCAGCCAAGATGATACGAGTCTTCAAGCTAGCGTTGTAGCCTACTTTATCGGAATTGCGATTGGATCTACTCTTGGGTTTCTTGCATTCAAAAACACAGAGCCCGATCGTCCCCCTCAAAGATACTTAATCCCTTGGGTACTCGGTGGATTCATCATGAGCATTGTATGGTTCTACATGATTGCAAACGAACTTGTTGCCCTTTTGGTCACGTTTGGTGGAATCTATGGAATCAACCCGTCGATACTTGGTCTAACCGTACTTGCTTGGGGAAACTCGATGGGTGACTTAGTGTCAAACATTGCATTGTCGATGAATGGTGGGGATGGCGTACAAATTGCATTATCAGGTTGCTACGCAGGTCCAATGTTCAACACGCTTGTTGGATTAGGTATGTCGATGTTTCTTGGTGCTTGGTCGAAGAGTCCAGAGACTTACATGATCCCGGAAGACAATAGCTTGTTTTACACTCTAGGATTTCTAATAATTGGTTTGATCTGGGCTCTTGTGATGCTCCCTCGCAACGAGATGCGACCGAGCAAAGTGATGGGCATTGGTCTGATCACATTGTATCTGATATTTGTCACTTTCAGGCTCAGCTCTGCCATGGGATTCATACCTTGGGCTTCTTGAAACGCAATTGTAACCAGCTTCTGTATCGGCTTATTTGTATACATTGTCTAGTTAGAGATACAAGTACATGTCCACTTGTTTGTTTGTTGTATCATCATATATTTGATAATGAATTTGAGCCATTAGATCTGGATCGTGAATTCGAAATTGGATATTAATGGGCCTTAAAACTAATGGGCCTTAAAACTAATGGGCCAAGATATCAACTCAATAATGTTGCCCCACTTGTATCGTTATCTTCCCACTTGTACATCGTCACGTGGTAGTGCGATATTCATAATATTTCATATCGAAAAATTAATAGTTTATGAGATTTTTAAATTTCCATTGTTACGTAACACAGAAACGTACCTTTTTATTAAAAATAAAAATAATTTGTAACGTGTTGAATAAAACAAATTATAACAATATTTGTAATCTCGAATAGACGAGTTTAACCAATAATAGTAGTATCATTACACTTATCAATTATGATTGCTTACCTAGCTAGTTTATAATTAGATGTTCCTAATCGACAAGACAATTTTTAAAATCACCGGAAATTTCTAAAACAAAGATATAATAAAATATAGATGGACATTGCTATCATAGTTATGTTAGAGCATTCACAATGGTGATTTTTTAGGTGATTAAGATGAGTTTTAAGAAAAAAAAAATGTGTATTAATTTGATTTTGAGTCTAATTTTAGACACTTATTTGTCAAAAGTGTCCTATTTAACACATTTTTGTTGGTTTAGACACTCATATGTTTTAAAAAAATAAATTTATTATTTTAGACACCTATTAAAATTGTCACCATTAAACATGCCTTAGCAGCGAAACGAATTGTATTTTGAGGTATTATATAAGATACTCACTCCACTCCTACACCAATATCCACACAGAAAAGAACAAGGAGTTGATGACAAAACCAAAAAGAAGAAGAAGTCAAATATATCATTTTCTTGGTGAAAATGGTTTCTGAATTGCATTATACATATAGCATTATAGCATAGGTTAACACAACTTGATTCTCTCGCAATTAATTGAATATAGAGAGAACAAAACGGGTCCAATGGAGCAATGTAAGTATGTGCCGTCGTGGAGACCAAGGCGTAAGGTTAGTCATGTGTCGTCGTCCTAGAAACTTTATCTACATCTTTGACATTCACATATATATAATTCTTCTCTTGCGGATGAAGTAAACATATTAACGTCATACCTTATGTCATTATTGGATTCTCATATAATATATACTAAAGAGATTTGATGCCATATATATCACATTTTCTCATAACATTATAAATACATAGTACGTATATATAAATATAAATTATATAGGGATATATAAAATAGTGTTGGAATATGCTCAACTTAGGACAAGACATCCAAGAACATGTTTATATCTCTTATTGCTCTGTTCTCGCAAAATGACAACTCTGACACTCATATGGGTTGTGTTTAATTAATTTTTGGTTTTATGTATATGCCTTTTTGATGTTTTTATTACTGATCAGTTTAATATGCATAACAATTAATTATTTTATGTGAAATCAACAGATCTTAAAACATTAGTACTGTATATGTATATGATCGATACTCATGCATGCTATTTTGTTAACAAAAGTTTATGATACGTGAGAATAATAGATATCATTGCTTCTTTATGTAAATTTGACTTGATATTTACAAAATTCTTTTCTTTTTTTTGTATTTGTATTTGAAGTTGTATTCAAACAGTTTTATAACCAAATGATAGTGGATGATATAATAATATATTACCCCTATATCCGTTTATCATCTTACTCAAGTTATGTGGACCACAATATAACAACCATATATATTATTAAGCTGAAGACAAACTCGGCGACTGATCATCTTGTCATCAATCATTGAAATTTCTTGGTTAACATAGCATTTGTAGTAAAGCATATATACGAATACAAGAAGACATGTGTATACTACAAAGTTTTTTTTTAAAATCACAGAAATAGTTTTATGATTCAAAAAGGGAAGACATGAAAACAAGTTCATGCTCTCTAACATGATCATGAGCCCTTTAAACTAAAACCGTCTTTATTTGCTCTGCGATATTATTGGAAACAATAGAAAAACATAAAATGTGTTGCCCATTTCTAATCAAACTGTGTGATACCTCTCTCACTTTGCTATGCCTCCCCAATTGGGTCTATATATTAATATTATGTATAGCTTTACTATCTAACATTTCAATCAATGTCTTCTTTTGTTTATCCATTCCCAAGTAATATATAAGATTTAGAGAATCCGAAACAAAACATGTATATATGATGAGATTGATGTGTGGTCCAGTTGAGTTTTAATGTCAAAATGTCGTGCTATACATAGGCCATATCCCTTAAATTTTAAAACCACATATACTAACAAAAACCTATTAATAATGTTATTATATAATTTACAAGTTTACATCCATAAAAATAGTACTATTTTACGGAATATGTCACATGTCACATGAAAGGTCACTGACCCCAAAACGTATTTTATATAATACGTTGATGTGTATGTGTATATAAACTATATATTAGTTTCTCATCATCAGTATGTGCCTCTCTTAAAACATAATAAAATCTCTCTTTCTCTTTCTTTTTCTTATTTCCAAATTTGTAATCCACGATAATATATATGGATCCACGCATCGCCGCAACCTCTGTCTTCCGGTGGTCTAAGAGTCGCCGGAAGATTCATATCCGCCGTCGTAAGTCGCAGGTGGTGCGTCTTGGTGGGAAGAACAATGCCTTGTCACGTGGGGGATTCTCGTTGAAGAAGATGGTGAGGAGGATGAAGCTAAGGTGGTTGAAGCTGCACTACGTGAGACTTTTGAAGAAGATAAAAGGTTTCTATCGTAATTTGGTTAAAGAGTTCGTAGACGCAGGAGCTGAGCTTGAAGCCATTCAGCAGAGAATGGCGGTTGAAGCGGCTGCGTTTGCGGTTCCTGGTTTAGGTCTCTCTTTCTCTTCATTGTCAGTCCATGACCGAGCACGGTATTTTATTGTATAGTGTTATCATATATTAATTATCATTTTTATTCATTGTAATTTTTTGTTTTGTTTTTGCTGTTGTATCTTATATAACTATTTATTACTTTGATTTCGTATTTCTTGAAATATCACCACAAGAACGAAAGTTACGAAACTATCAGTATATGGTTCAATATTTTATTACGTACGGTTTGTTTATTTATGCATATATAACAACATAACATTTTAAATATCAAATTACAAACACTTTAATACATTATAAAAATAAATAAATAACCGCGTATGGGGCTTGGTAACGTGATTAAATGATCATGGGATGAGATGAGTGTATATATATATTTTGTATTGTAAGTGATTGAGTTAAGGTGCATGCCTTGCTGGAAACGCAATTAGACAATGAATTAAAGAAAACAAAACTACCATTTGATATGATTCAGATCTTTATTGATACTGTGCACTCTGTTCTTACATGACAAACTCGTGGCTTCCCCATAAAATTATAATATTTTTAACACTTATAATTGGGCTTTGAACGATTGCTTTAGATTCGAGAATCTCTCTATGCTTAAATACTACTATATATTAGCTAGCAGTAATGTAGTACCAACTTGAATTAATTCTCAGTTTTTTTTTTTTCCACTTTGTGAATGATTGAATCCGACAGTAATCAGTTATTCACATGCAGTTACTGACTACTGTTTCAGAACACATTTATATTGCTTTTGGGTTTTTTTTTTTTTGGGTTGAACAGCTGAATTAATACTTTTATTAATCATAGCAGAACATACAAACTAATGAGTTACTGTCACTCTTTCTTCTCCTCAACGTTAATGAAGAAACTCTCATATTTTAACGTCATTCCCCTGTAAAGAAGCTTCTCATATCCTCTTGTAAATATATACAACTTGTACCACGAGGCCCGCGACACCTCAGAAGGATGAATATTAGTTGTAATCTATATATATAAAGTTAACTTTTTCTCTCTTCTCCTTAAGCCACATCATCATCCACCTCATTTTATTATTTAATTTTTAAAATTAATTATACCATTTTATCATTTAATTTTAATATTTAAACCTATGTAAATAATTTTTTCAAAAATGAATATGAAAGGTCTTTTTTATATTATACATTATAAAACTAAAAAAGATAATTGATTAAAAGTTAAAAAAACTTACTAATTATCGATTATACTAACAAATATATAAATAATAGATTACAGTTTTTAGTGAATGTTTAAAATATATATATGATTATATTTACACAATGTAAACCTAAATATAATGGGATTTAACGGGAATAGAGCAAAAAGTAAGAAATTTTGAGAATATAAATCTATCTAATTTATGTCTCAAAAAAATTTCTAACATAAATGAGATAGGTCGGACCGCAACATGAATTCTCATTTTTTATAAACATATAAAAAGGTAAAAATAAAATAATATTTCTTTAAAAGTTTCCAATATGAATTTAACTATTTTTTTCCAATACAACTCATATGTTAAACTAATAAACAAAATAAAAAATTAACTATATTTCATAAAATTGAAAATTAAAATAAAAACATTATTAAATGAAATAAACTAAATATAAAGTAAATTATACTAATATGTTAAATTTAAAAATTGTTCCATATGAAAAAACAAAAAAAAATATAAAACATAAAATCAGAAAATCAGAAAAAAAAATATAATAGTATATAAATGATCATTACAAGATATAAAGTACGACAAATCCAAAAAAGGAAAACGTAAAACAAAAAATAATAAAGTATGACAATATATAAATAGATAATGTAAACAATTAAAAATATAACAATCCGCCCGAAACCCACAAATCATGTTCAAATTTCATGCCAACATATAAAAGGGCCCAAAATATTAACATTTAGATCTATATTTGGTAAAAACCCTAATAGCACATGTTTCTCAATAATTTTCAACCGCACTTCCATTTACGCTCACACTTCGACTTATACTATACACACTTAATTTCTCAACAACTAATGAAGCTAAAACTCAATAGTTTTGTTATACAAACACAATTTAAATTTTAAAAAAGTAAAGTATGGTATAGTGAAAAAACTAAGTAGAAAATAAAATACGAACTAATTACTCATAAACAACATAATAAACTCACGCGCGTAGCGCGGGCAACCGACTAGTATCTATATATACCTGAACACCTCTTATCTCCAATGCATCAAATCTCTTAAATAACACACCAAACTGGTCTTCTAAGAGTCGCAACTCACAAACACCTTCAGATATCGCCTTGCTATAAGCTTACACCAAGGTGCTTCTTTGTAAATCTCGGATCTTGAAATAAAGGATTCCATTTTCTGCAACTGAATCTCACTGCTATAGCTCAGAGGTAACAATGGAACCAAATCCATATTATACTCTTGAGATAATCGTGTCATTCTTCCAACTACTGTATAAAGTTTAGGGTTTAAAAGTTTTTTAACCTTCACGTTTATTGTGTTATGTTTCTGATGGATTTCATAAATCTTATAGCCCAACGCAACACTGATCACCAAAACAGGCCTAAAAGTTAGCGATCACCACCGGTCCACAGAAACAAATCCAAATCAAGCCTGCAGGCCTATTAGTTACGGTTTTATTTTATAGTTTCCGCGACAGATTGACTAAACCGGAATTATTAAACACGTTGTGACGAATGGTACGTTAGTTATATTTACGTGGTTGCGTTGCGTGGAAGAGATGAAGTCCCACGTGGCTAAAGTTTGCACGTTGCCTCTTCTTTAACACTTTTGCTTCTAACGTAACCACCACTTCTATTCTAGACCAGCTTGGTGTGTGTTGTTATTGTTAATAATGTAACGAAACTGAACTACTTCTTTTTCAATTAACCAATATTAGGAGAAGAGATCATATATTTTATTTGTAATTACTCAATCGAGATAAGTGATGATTAATTAATTAACTAATGAACGTACGTAATTCGTCTACGGCTTATAATTTACACGTGAATATACAAGAACTCATGTGTAAATGACTATTTTCATTTCGCGACCAATAGTGAGATCCAATTTGACTTGATTTGGACACGAAAATTGTTAGAAAAAGTTGATGTATTTACCAAAACTTTTGGTATTTCTCTCCTTCGGAAGTCAAATACAAAAAAAAACAGGTGTCGATAATTTTGACCTGAGAAGAAGAGTATATTGTCGTGATTAGTTTTGACGGCTGTGATCTAATGGCAAGACTCAAACCGGACCGTCGATTTTACAAGGTGGTAAATGATTCCCACAAGTCACGGAGGCTGAGGGGTAGACGCTGACCTGGCACACAAATGTAAACTTGGCCACCAACTGAGACACGTGTCTTGTTTAGTTCCGTCCTCTTGAACCACGTGGCATGTGTTTTTGTCTCGGCAGTGACGGTACTTCTTATTAGTTCTTCGAGACTTCGTCGGTGTCCTTATCGGAAAAATGATTCGTGAAGAAATTAAAAGTTGGCTAATTGTTTAATTTTTAGGCTTAGAGAAAGCCGAGTAAAATGTAACTGTGAAATGTCTATATTGTCCTTAAGATACAAATTGGGTGATTTGAATTAATAATATGAGATTTTTTTTTGTTCCTAATACAGCAATTTTAAAATTAAGAAATTTATGACTCGTAAATAAATCGTTTTTCAACTACTGATTATTTCAGTCTCCTCTCTGTTTTTGTTGATACAAACTAATATGCAAAAAAAAAGAAACTAATATGACTCTCATAATCTCATTTATCAAAAATTCAACGGACGTAAGTGTGTTTGTAGTATATTTTTATTTTCCTTAACAAGAAGAGAAAAAAAAAATAAAAAATTTGGGATTCCTCATCCGCAAATAGATTCATTGAATCAGAAAAAATTCCCAACCAGACAAATTAATAAAACATTTAGAATCCCACTGTGGATCCCACTTCCGACCATTTGCTGATTTTTTTTTCCATATAATTTCTAGATATTTTTATTTTTTTGAATAATTACTCAGTTTAAATTATTCCTAAAGATTACTAGTCAGTACTCAGTAGTCACAAAATAATTATTCCCGCAAAAAAAAACCGTAATCATGATTATAATTTTTTTATTGTTCGAACAAAAGTACCAGAAAATAGTTTATTTATAGTTTTCATAATTCACCAAAGGATAACGAGTAACGGACATTACTAAAATGATAATCAGAAATTCAGAATAGTAATCTATCTGGTTAAACAAAAAGGGTAGATTAGTAAATTTGTGATGCTGGGATGAATAAGAACAACCTCCACCATGGATAGGAATTCGTTTTTTTCTTCGTAAATCATAAAGTTAGAAAGAAAATTTTCTCAATTTTTCTCTCACAGTTTCTTCGTTTTCTCTGTGATTCTTTTACAGTTTTTCCCCTTTTCGATTTCGTGTTTTGGAATTGTATATACTTATATCCCATTTGTTTGTTCATAGATCTACGGTTTTATTTTCTAGGAAAAGTTTCTTTGTTTTCTCGAGAAAAATCGACGAAGCTTCGGAGTCAATTCGGAGAATTTCATTTCTAATTTGATTTCTTACGATTCGGAATCAAAAACCAGAGAGGTTCAATGGTGGTAGCGACGACCATAGCGCTTTACGCCAGTCCAGCGAGCACTGTATGCTCTACAGCTCACCAGATCAACGCTCATATCTCTTGTGATCTCGATCTCAACTCCAGATCTTCTTCCGCCTCTTCTTCCACCAGTTCCCCCACTATCGGAGGCCTCTCTCTGCTTTTCTCCGGTGCGTCTGTCAAATCGTCTTCGTCTTCTTCCGCATCGTCGCATCCAACGGTTGGAGATGAGCTAGCTTCAATACGCCATGATCGTAGCGATGATCGGACCTTAAACGGCTCCTTCTGTTACTCTCCCAGCAAATTCATCGGTTCTTCGTACCTTAAACGAGATCACCAAAGCCCTGTCTCCGTGCTTCACGGTCCTATCTCATCTAGCAGTAGTCCTCCGATGAGAATGTCACATGATCGGAACTTAGATGGTGGCTCTGCACTCCGTCTAGGATCTAGCAGATTGTTCAATGGTTTCGTTAGGAAAGCTGTAGGTTCCTGTGTTGATTACGACACTGAAGACTCTGTTCTTGCCGATGACCAGCTACCGTTCACCATGGACGATGGTTTCGAAGGAGAAAGAAGACAACCTTATGCTAAGGATTTGCTTAGACGTGCTCAATTGAAACATAAAATCTTCGAAGATGAATCTGTGATCAAAGCATTTTACGAAGCTGAAAAAGCTCATAGAGGACAGGTGTGTGAAGAAGAACTTATTTATTCTCACAAATATTTTTGTTTTGATTTTGCTAATTGATGTGTTTGAATCAGATGAGAGCAAATGGTGATCCTTACCTGCAACATTGTGTTGAGACTGCAATGTTGTTAGCTGACATTGGAGCTAATTCGACCGTTGTTGTAGCTGGGATTTTACACGATACTTTAGACGATTCGTTCATGAGCTATGATTATATTCTCAGAACTTTTGGATCTGGAGTTGCTGATCTTGTGGAAGGGGTAAGTAAAGAATCAGCCATGAATGTGCTTCAGCGAAAGCTTGTTTAATGGTTGAGACTTGGACTTTAATTGACTTCTGTCTTCTTATTGCGTTAGGTGTCTAAGCTGAGCCAATTAAGTAAACTTGCTCGGGAAAACAATACGGCAAGTAAAACCGTTGAAGCAGATCGATTGCACACTATGTTTCTTGCAATGGCAGACGCGAGGGCTGTTCTTATTAAGTTAGCTGATCGGTTACATAACATGATGACGCTCTATGCTTTGCCACCGGTGAAGCAGCAGAGATTTGCTAAAGAGACTCTGGAGATATTTGCACCTCTGGCTAATCGTTTGGGAATCTCTAGCTGGAAAGTTGAGCTTGAAAATCTGTGTTTCAAGCATCTGCATCCTGATCAGCACCACGAAATGTCTGCTATGCTTGAGGATTCATTCGATGAAGCTATGATTACTTCTGCGATTGAGAAATTGGAGCACGCACTTAAGAAAGAAGGCATTTCTTACCATGTTCTCTCTGGACGACACAAGAGCTTGTATAGTATCTACTGCAAGATGTTAAAGTAAGTGCTCATTTCCCCTTTATACGGAAGCGCTTGTTGGTTAATCGGTTTCACTAAGATTATGGAGAAACCAGAATTCTGACACTTCATTTTGTGCCAGGAAAAAGCTAACCATGGATGAAATTCATGACATTCATGGTTTACGTTTGATTGTTGACAATGAGAAAGATTGTTACAAGGCCTTAGGAGTAGTTCACGAGCTATGGTCTGAAGTTCCTGGAAAGCTGAAAGATTACATTTCTCATCCCAAGTTCAACGGGTGGGTTCTGAAAACCGGTGGTATCTTATAATGATGCAGGCTACTTCATTCTCTCATTATCTAACTTTGGGCTTTTGGAATTTTAGGTACCAATCTTTGCATGCAGTAGTAATGGGTGATGGAACCATCCCGCTTGAAGTTCAAATACGCACAAAGGAGATGCATTTGCAAGCTGAATTTGGGTTTGCAGCTCACTGGAGATACAAGGAAGGTGACTGCAAGCACTCATCATTTGTGCTTCAGATGGTTGAATGGGCAAGATGGGTTGTGACCTGGCATTTTGAAACCATGAGCAAAGACAGATCCTCGATCTGCTCTTCCGAGCCCTTGTGCAGTTTCCCATCTCACGCCGAAGATTGTCCATTTTCTTATAAGCCTAATGGCAGCCAAGATGGACCAGTCTATGTCATTGTAATCGAAAATGAAAAGGTAAGTTGTGATTACAATCATCTTCAAATTCTTTCCATTGAGGATATTTCTTTGCTTGGAGTTGTAATTTAATAAACTTGAATATGCAGATGACTGTGCAAGAGTTTCCAGCGAATTCCACAGTTTCGGACCTGTTAAGAAGAGCAGGACCAGGGAGCTCGAGATGGTCAATGTACAGCATGCCGGCAAAGGAAGAGCTAAGGCCAAGACTGAACCAGACACCTGTAAGTGATCTGAAATGTAAGCTGAAGATGGGAGATGTGGTGGAGCTGACTCCAGCCATACCTGACAAGTCTCTGACTGAATACAGAGAGGAGATTCAGCGGATGTATGATAGAGGGCTTGCGTTTTCACGCCCTCAGCGTGCAGCAGCTGGTACCATGGTTGGCTGGGGAAGCTAACAAATTCTCTTAATTACCTTCGTTCATGTATATATACTATAGTTGCATATATAGTAATGCTTCAGAAGATTTGTTTTACCACTGGTATTGTCGATTCCCAACACAACAGTGTATATATAGTGCGCATATATTCTACAAAAACTGACTCAGCTCATAAATATTTGATTCTCTTACATTCTACTACTTGATACTACATGATCGTAAAAAGTGACTGGTCATTAATAATAATTCTGTTACATTTTACTTCTTGATACATGACATTTTTGTCTTCTTGTCTTATCTACTTATTGGGTCTTCTAGAGAGAGGGAAAGAGACTCTCTGAGGAGTTTGGCCTGGCAGGTCTGATGTTTGTTGTTGTTGTTCTTGCGAGGACTGTGCAGGATCTGTCATTTCTTCATCATCCTCTGTTTCTTCAGGTTCTGTGGAAGCTGACTTCTTTGGTATCACGAGCTGGTAGTTTGGGCTCAGCAATGTGTCCTGTTCAGGTGGGAGCGGAACACCGGGTCCTGCTATCGATTTTGGCAAAGGGATCTTGTTCCTAGTTGCAGCAAGTTCTAGCAGAACCTAAATCAAACATCCAAAACAGAGACATGGACATTTAAAAATCAAACAACATGGATTTCGCAGACTGAAAACATTTAAGGTTCTCAGAATGTCTTATGTGGCAAGAGGGTTATTAGTAAGGTGATAATTCCCTAATGATTCACATAGCAGTTACCACATGACTCTGGTCATATCACATATCTTTTCAGACAACAATTTCAGAAAAAGAAAAACAAGAAACAAGGAATCGTCTACAATGCATACCTCTCTTGGAGGTGGCTGTGAGAAGCTGAAATTAACTTTGGATTGAATAGCGAGCTTCACATCATCACAGTCAATGTTGGATTTGCTAGCATGCTCTGAGTAAACCTGAGCATCTGTCAACACTTCCACCACATAGCGATACCACAACTCCAGAAACTGGTGTATCACACGAGGCTCGTAGTCCTCCACACCCATTGACTTAAGCAGAGATTTCACAATCTTAGCATCTCTAGGTACATCTTCTTCACCTTCTCCAGCCATGTCTTCACTAAACAAACTCAAAAGTAATGCCCACAGAGTCAATTACGCAACAATTTTACACAGATTTGATTTTGCAAACAGCACAAGCGAACATCGTGAAACAACAGTAACAAACATAAATCCCCACATCCAAGAACGAAAATAACGAATAAATGATCAGAGAGATTGCTACTTAAACCGCACCATATCGGAAGCATTTTGAGCTTCAATATCAAATAGATGAGAATTCGAGCTTCACGAATCAAAGAAAACGAAGATGGAGATATTGAAGCACAAAAAGAAATTTCAACCTAGCTTCATCAATAAGTTGCAAAACAAAAGATTCCATACCACAAAGAGGCGAAAATTACCTAAACAAGATTTGGTGGAGGGTTAATAGCAGAAACACGACGGAGGTTGATGAACCGGCGGCGAGTATAGGATCGGCGACTAGTCTTCCTCAGTCTAGATCTGCTATTTATGGTTTTGGTGTGTAAATCTGATATAACGTTGAGGGCACAACTGGAAATTTACGTAAACGCTGTTTTATTGCGTTTAGCGGTTCGGAGCAGCTGGAGTGGGATAATTTGGGTCTTTGTGCATAGGCCCATTAAAGACCCAAATTAGAACGACCGCGAATGTGTGTATATCTTAAATACCGATAATAGCCTCATCTCCCTCCCTCTTTACTTGTCCGTGTTGTCTAGTCTACTTCATTGGGTTTAAAAATTACCATAATGTCCTCACCGGAGCGTGCAGTTCTCAATCTATTGACCGACCTCGCTCTCTCCTTCGACGGCGCAATCCTCGGACTGACTTTAGCTATTAGCGCCGTCAGTTCTGCTCTCAAGTATGCCTCTACCAACGCCGCGTTGAAAAAGATCAAAGATGCACCCGAAGTCTCCGTTGCTGACCTCCGGTCACTGCTTCCGGCGTCTGAAGAAAAATCCGAGACTAATGATCAGGGGACTAGCCATGATCAGCGGATCGTTGTGGTTCGTGGAGTCGTCAAGCCGAAATTTTCCGGTGATGAGAGTCAGAAGAACAACGTCTTAATCTCTCCGGAGACTGGAGATAAAGCTCTTATCATCCAGAGAACGCAAACGGTACGCATAGTTATATATATTTATAGAAACAGTTTTGCGAGTTCGTCTAAGCTTAGTTCTTACAAATTGCAATTGACATTGACCTAATTTTGCTTTATGTTTCTCTCAAAAGGCTTAGCTGTGGTTGGGGTAAAGAGTTGAGATAACTTCTTTGTGATTGATTAAGTAACCATCACGATTATGTGATTTTTTTGCTGCTGTGATCTCAGAAGGGAAATGAATGTTTTGGGGCAAGTGGAAGCCTTTCTAATGTCATCATTTTTTGTTTACAGTATGTGTATAGTGGATGGAAGAGATTGTTCCAGTCTACTGGTTACCGGTTTATGTTGGAGAGATCTATGCCCAAACAAGGAGCTGATTTTATGAGGAAGGTAAAGCCTAGTCCACTCTTTATCAGCTTCAGAGCTTTCAACTTTGGTTTTTTCCATGATTCAAACTCGTTTCGATAATCGATATCCTTCGCTTTGTGCAGGTCCCATTTGTCATTGTTGGAAAAGATCAACAATCGCAGTCTAGTTATCTCCTTGTTAACATGGATGGCTCAAGGCAACCTCTTCCGCTTACCACTGTGTATAATCGTTTGCAGCCTATTAATTCTTCGTTTCTTCAAGCCTTTTTGTTCCCCGAGTATCCTGTGAGTATATATATTCAAAGACATCTCTGGTTTTGAGATTGTTACTTGTTCTTGGCCTCGTCCGTCCTAACTTTGTAATCCTTTCTCTTCCAAGGTCGGTCTGCTTGATGTAGAGAAGATTTTACCACCTGGGAAAGATATAACAGCTGTTGGCATCTGCAGTTTTAGAAATGGAGTTCCTGAAATCAAATCGTCCCAAGATCTTCCTTACTTCTTGTAAGCTTTTTTCTGGATACATTTTTCTCGTTAATACTGAAATTATATATCGGTCTGCTAGCTAATTCAAATTACTACCTCATCTTTTCTTTTTGTTTTTTCAATCTGTTGAGCATTTGACAATACTTAGTCCATTGTTGCAAAAAAGCTCTATTGCTGGTCATATATAAATCTTTTTGAATAATCTTTGTAGATCAGAGATGACCAAGGACAAGATGATAGAGGACCTTATAGATCAGACCAGCGCAATATTCTTTGGCACTGTTTTCTTGGGCATTGTGTCTGTTGGCATCCTTAGCTATGCTGCTGTCAGGTACTGGAGTTTTGAAAGATCAGATTTAGTTTTGGTTTTGGGAATTGTTTTGATTCGAAATCTGTATAACTGTCTTATCTTCAGGACCTGGAATAAATGGAAACTATGGAACCGTCAGAGAGAGCTGCCACGGAGACCAAACGAACCCGTAGCCGATGATGAACCCGAAGATGCAGATGAAATCCCAGATGGACAATTGTGTGTGATCTGCGTGACAAGACGGAGAGTACCTGCGTTTATTCCCTGTGGACATGTAGTATGTTGCAGGCTATGTGCTTCAACCGTGGAGCGAGAGTTAAACCCAAAGTGTCCAGTTTGTCTCCAGAGCATTAGGGGATCTATGCGTGTATATTACTCTTGATGACTCTGAATCTTTTCTCATTGTATCTAATAGAGTAATGCAATTTGTATTCAAGAGAATCGGAAATTTTCAATTAACAAAATAGTTTGACAATGATTTAAAAGGTCTTCAAGCCACTCTATAGAGTGAGAGATTGCAGGGGATATGAAAGCAAAGTTTTTAAAGGAAGAATTTTTGTAAAGAAACGATAACAAAAAGTAGCCAAGGATGACTTCCCGTCATATATGATCACTTGTCGCAGGAGATTAACCAGAGTTATCCCGGAGCAAGATCCGTCTCAGGTTCCTCAAGTCCCTGACATGAGAGCTGAGACATGGTGTGTTGATGGATAACCTGAGAATCTGAACTGCGGGTTTTGGAACATGATACGGCTTGAATTGGAGCTCGGTGTGATCGAACTAGACCCGATTCCGCTTCCACCATCGCGAGGGCTCTTAGAGAAATTCTGTCCATTTGCCATTTGAGAGGAACACAGTGGGTTTGATGATTCTTGAAGCTTCTTTGTATTGAGGAAACGTCCACCGGAGCCTCTAGCTCTCTTTAAAGCATGAAGATGGCGAGACTCATGTAGGTACGGCTACAGAAAAAGAAAACAAAACTTTGTTACTCACTTCTGAATTGCATCAAATCATCTTAGGTTTTCGGAGTTAGTTTTCCCTGTCCCTCTTTGGTGTTTTAAGCAAAATGGGAAAGAGAAAAGATTCATACTTTACGGCATTTGATGAGTTTGTTCTGAGCTTCGAGTTTAGCACGGTGCTTCCTGCGACGGAGGATGGCGTGATACTGTTTCGCATTGACAAATATTGGTTCATTCTCTTGAATGTTATGAGGCAATGGCACTCTTGAAGAAACCAAACCCATCATCTCTAAATGTGGCATTCCCTGCAAAACGACTTTCCAGTTAACCAATCAATGCACCACATCAATTCAGAATTCTGAAAGCGCAAGACTTCACAGCATATATTACCGTTGGTGTTGATGGATATTCAGGAGCCAAGAAACCATTGAAATGTGATGTTTCAACACATTGAAGAAGAGGAGGAAACACAGAATCTTGAGAAATCATTGACGAGGTGATGGTTGATTTAGTATAACTTTCAATATGATTTCCCGTGGTTTCGATGTACCCTGCATCAACCAATGACAAGAATATAAACCCACAACTATTTTTAGCGGTTTTCGACAATGCGACTAATGTTCAAAAAACCAGTTAATCTATTAGACCTTGGCCTGAGAGATTGGTATTAACAATGTTGCATCCATAGCGTTTACGTTCTTCAGAGCTTGCAACTTCAACGCCCCCAGATTCTCCGGTAGATTGTGTTGAGGATGAATCTTGATCTTGCAGCTGCAAACCTGAATGTTTCACCCCAGGGAATTGTGTAGACATCATCATATCCTTCGTCAAGCTGAAAGATTCGGATCCTTGAATGTGTGAATTTGTTGGCATTGAGTGTACCCAAGATGAATCTTTCCTTTGATGAAACACTTGCATTGTTCTTCAAAAAGCTAAATGTCCAAACCAACAAGTCCAGTCATGAGTCAACATTTCTTTCATGATCCATAAAAATCAACAAACCCCAATAGAGAAATGAATTATAAAAAAATCATAAAAACATGCTAAGCACACAAATTCAAGGTTGAATCACACAGTAAGATTGTCCAATAATCTGAAGGGTTTCTAAAGATTCAAACTTTGAACTTGGCTAAATCCTTACACAACATGCAAAACACAAAAGCTTCTGCGTAGAGAGTAAAAACAGAAACAAAACAAAAATATAAATCAAAAGATGTATAAATTTCTGGGTTTTGAGTATAAAAGAATCACGGCTCATCATCTTACACGCCAACCTAGTAGAAATCAAATCTCTTCCAACTTACTGATCCAAAGCAAAACTGATCAAAATCTCAAAAAACTCACTCAAAAACTGAGTTCTTTTATTTAAAAAATCACATCATCAGAAGTAGAAATGGAGCAACCAAATGATAACACACTACCAAATAAATTAAAGCGTACAAGAGAGAGCGAGAGAGAGAGAGAGACCTTTAGTGTTCTAGATTTGGTAAAAGATGGAGAGAAAGAGAAGTTAAGTAATCAGTTTGAGATTATGATGATGATGATGTTGATGATGAAGATGATGAAGATGATGATGCATGTCTCCTTCCTCAGAACATGGCTGTTTTCTTCTCGCTCTCTCTCTCTCTCTCTCTCTCTCTTCCTCTGTCTTTGCAAATTTGGTATTGGCTATGGCTTAAAAGACTAATCTTGACTCCTTTTCACCTTTTTTTTTTTTAATATATATACTACTACTGACTACTGTATATGTTTTTTTTTTCCTTCTCTCATCAAATACAAGTTTATTTTCACACTCAAAAAAATATTAGTTAAAGAATAGTAAAATCCTGTTTAATATTTTTCTTTTGTTTCCATTTCTAAATTTTTGCAGATTTTTCACCTTTATTTTTAAGGTAATTTTGCTTGTATTTATTAATAATCTGTATTGTTAATGTTTCAAAATTCAATATATCTAATGCAATTTGCGACATGTGTTTAATTTTATTAAAATATTATATAAGATTATGTAGGCAATAATTGATATACATATATACTAAATTTGACACATGTATAATTTTGAAAAGGCTTAACATATATCTCTATATATAAGTTTTGAAATAAGAAATATCAAAGGAGAAAGAATGGAAGGTTTTGAAATACAGAAATAAAATCGAAAACTACATGTGTTTGCTTTTAGTAGTTTTTATTGGAAATTGTTTTCATCCATTTTTAGAGATGTTTTTACATTTTTATCTTATTTCATCCTATCAGTATTGTTTTATAGATTTATACGCGATTAATTTCAGGATATGTTAAAAAGGTTCAAATTTTTAAATAAAATTATAGAGGGCATATATTCTTAATAAGAATTTGTAAGAATCATATTCCTATGTTGTTTTATAACAAATGTTGCACAATTCTTAAACATGCTTTGTATATATATAGTGAAACCTTGAAAGATAGGTATTTCATCTAAATATACTTTTATATCTCTTTGTCTTTTTATTTGTAAGAAGTTCTGTATTATTATTATTTTTTTTTCTTTTTTATACAAATTGAAAAGCAAAAGATTAAATAAGTGGAAGGTTGTCAACATCTCTTTATAGCGCAATCAATATTGGCATTTAAGAGAATAAAAAGAAAAAAAAATATAAATTTTTTGTTGTAGTTGGGGGTAATTGAAATTTATTGCAAGTCAAGCAAAGCTAAAGAGCCCTTTTCCAGTTTTCTTTCTCTCTTTTGTTTTTTCACATTTCTTGATGCATAGCCAAAGCACTGACCAATGAATCGTAATTTGGTAGTTTCTTCTCTCTGCATTTATTCCACATCTCTGAATTGTAATTATAAAAGCTTGCTACACCCAAAATAAAATAAAAAAGAACAAACAAATGTAAAAAAGAAAGAGAGTTCATAAATAGCAACCATCTTTAAATGTTATAGAGAGTTTCAAAAACGACTTTTATAACAACAATGAGACTTTTGTGTATTTGTATTGAGTGGGGTGGAATGTGTATCATTTTTGGTTTGCTACGTACACCTTAAATTTGCTTTAGAGATAAGAAATATCAACAATTCAACAGATGCTTCGAAAGAGGTTACAGGTGTTACTTCAAAATACTATATGTTATTATTATTGTTGTGTATCGTCGAGAGAATCTAGAAGTTCTTAGGACTCAATTATTTGATGTTAGCTATGTTTTTTTTATAATAGACATTCATTAATAATACTAAGTATTTTCAAACACGACAAACGAAATCTCCCCTAACCTCCTCTTATCCTTATTAAACTGGCCATCACAATAAGATATTAGTAAATGAATTGTTTTTAATGGGAAGCATAAAAGACAAGACATGACTAAACCCATTAATCTAATCTAAAATAATTCCAAATCCTAAACATCACGCTTTCACTTCCCAATCATAGTCACACCACTTTGTCCCTACCTTGTCTTAACACGTATGTATGTACACGTAAGATTTAACTACAATCGTCCATTTTTTTTTTCTTTCTCTTTCAAAAAGCATTTTTTGCCTACCTAACCTGTTTTATTATATAGTAAATAGGAAAAAAAAAATGAACTCATAAAATGTCATACATCTAAAATATTAACGTTAAAAAGTATAGAACAGAGACACAAGTGAATAAAGAAATGAGATCAGCACAGCACGAATATTGTTGTAAAGAAAATCTAAGTCTAAATACCACCACCTAGACAAAACTAAATCACCATCATCACATCATAATGTGTTGAATTTATCCTCACAAGGAAGAAGGAACCATCACCATATCATACCATTCATCATTTAAAAAAATAAAATAAAATAAAATATAAAGAAAAATGAAAGATTCAGTGCATGAAATAAAATTAATGGAACCCATTCCATCACAAGATTTGATTATTCGAGAGAGAGACCTTGTGCCACACCATTCATGGTTTTGAACAAAAGCTAATAAGAGTCTCTTCCTTTGTATGGCATCTCCTGCAACACAAGCAAAAAATGTCAGTACTCTTTTGACTGTTTTGAATGTCAGTACTATGAAGAAGGATATAATATACCGGTTGGTATGGCGTTGGAGGCATGAACAAGACTGGTCTCTGCTGAGTAACCATTATCTGTTGTGGGTACTGTTTAACATTTGATTCCCAGATTCAGTTTTCCCCATTAGAGAGAAGATGAAGAATTTTTTGAGTCACGGCTCTAATAACAGCAATAAACATACCTGTGGACCATTTGGAGAATAATATGTTTGATTTGGACCAAGCTGTGCTGTATTATTATACATCATTGGTTGTTGTTGTTGTTGTTGTTGTTGTTGTTGTTGTCCAGGGAATGCTGCTCCCATCTGTTAATTTTTCAATCTTGTGAATCAGAAACATAATATAATCGTTATTGAAGCGTTGATCATTAAGAGTAGTAACGAATATAGAAAAGTTACTCCGTATCGAAGATGTAATCCTGGCATTGGTGGAAGGGGAGGGTAATAGAACGATCCATCTGTGACTGGAGACTGAGGACGTGTAGTAGTTGGAGATGGTTTGAAACTCTTTGCATTGGGGTTCAATTTGAATTCCTGATCAGGCCTCAGTTAGTAAGAGCTTAGAGTATTAAGGAGAAGTTAGATGATAAATTGATGACCTAAGCACCAGGAGAAAAAACCTTAGCATTTGGGTTGAGTGTAGACTTTTCTGAAGATAAGGAACCAATTGAAGAGCTTGGTGATAGTGTTGGTCGATTTGATGCTGGGGAAGCTGCAGAGTTTTCTGGATTTCTAGAAATGGAGCTTCCATGCCACCCACTAGCGCTCTCAGATTTCGCTCTGTCAGAAAGTGGACAGAGTCCTCCATCAGTGAAACTTGGCCTCTCAGACGATGTTGCATCTCCATTGATATCTTGAGGTAGCATGAAAATACTTAGTTAGAAATTAAATGGGTATCAACATTGGAAGTGAAATTGGAGTAGATAGATACAATAAGCTGAAGTTGCACATACCTTCAAGACCAGACACCGATTCCTCTGAAGGCTGTGAACGAAGCAAACAGAACAGTGTTATACGTAATGTCATATTATGCAAATGCAAACATGAGTAATGCGTCAAAAGAGTTTAACTTACCCTTTTATAATGGGAAACCCCAAGGAATTTGCTGGTTCTTTGCTCACCAAGCAGGCTCTCATTCCTGTAAAAAATGAGCTTTCAGAAACTTAATGTTCAATGAAAGATATTTTGAACAATAAAATGTATGTCTATTCCAAGGAAAAAGACCTGATACTTCCTCCAAAAGGAAAATCTTTGGATTGCTTATTTGAGTTCGACCAGCTCTGATCTATAATTTTGTTTTTCCGTAATTGCCGGCTGTCACCCTGAAGGACAAAAAATGGCAATATAACAGATGATTCTCCTAGAAACTACTACCAGTGAAAACCTCAACCATACCCATGATCCTTCATAGACCTGGCCAGCTGACGCAGGTTTCTTCTTGCCATCAGAAGCAGATGAGTCACCAAAAGTCATATTGTTGCAGCAATCCAACAATATGTCTTCTTCTTCTTCTTCCTCGTCGTAACATGTATCATCAAATCTATTCAGCGTACAGACAGATGAGTATTTGGTTTCCTCATCAATATCAAACTTTCCACTAAGCTGGAGCCCTCTTTCCTGTGTATGATGATTGCATGAACGAACCATTAGAAGGTAGACTAGATATAATACAGCTATGTATCATAGAAATTCAAGTGGCACAGAAGACATTTGTCATTCACCTCTGCTACGTGAAGATCTCGGGTATTCTCACCCACAATCTCTCTCGCAATCCTCAAGGCTTGCTCTTCTAGCTCCCTTGTTCCAGGACCTCTCTCGAGTTTTGTGGTATATAGTTCCTCATCAAAAGTGCTTGTTACTCCAAATAAAGACTCATTGACCTCGAACTGATTCCAGCCCCTATGATATCATCACAGATAAGATATGTTATAAGTGGTATCGTTCAGCCCAGAGAATGTACATGATTAAAGAATGAGAAAAGAGCAGAGGTTAGCCCACTGCGGATGGAGGTCTCAAAGTACCCCGCGTGTAATCATAAATTAAAAGCTTTTTTATTCAATTTACGAAGTAAAATAATGTTTGTTTGAAAACTAAATTATATGCTACTATATATAGATATATACATTTCTAAAAAAAGAGTCATAGTTACAAGAACAAAAATCGAAATAGCTGTCTCCCTCAGCCTAATCCGATACAACATCCAAAGCACTATCTAGCTTAGATCGTAAAAGTAAGCACTCAAGGAAAAGAAAATAGAGAAATAGAAATACTAGACAGTTTCTAAAACAGAAATTAGAAATCCAAACAAAAGGGTAAATGTCCTACTTTAAAGAATAGAGTCCCTACCTCTTCCAAGGATCATCAAACACATTCTCCAGATCTGAACAGTCTGGAACATCTTCATCAGGTACCCAAGGTTTCAGCTCTCTTTCCAAATCAACATTATAAAATTGTGATATCAGAGAGTCTGTCAACAGCTCTAAAGGTTTCTCGCACGGAACAGAATCTGAGACGTCCTCGCTGGATAGAGGAAGGTCCTAACATAGAAACCAGTGACAAAAGAATAACAACGTCAAAACACAATAACATTCTGGTGCCTTGACATGAACATTAAAAACCCAATCCCATCTGCAAGAATAGTGTACACACCTTAGCTATAACTTGCACAAGTTCTTCAGCAGGGATAATGAGTCGCTTTGAAGGTGGTTTGCTGACAAGCGAAGAGCGGGATTTTGCTCCTCGTGAATCCTTAATCAAGCATGCCATTTTCAAAATAATTCCTGAAAGTTTCAAAGCAGTTTGTAAGAGGCCAACAAAATAACCTTTTCTTCTATTATATCACATCTCAAAGGAACAAATAGGTTCCCATTCAGAGCCTTACCAAAATCATTATCCACATTAGCAGCATGAAATATGCCACTGTAAATGGATCCATTTTTTAGGTGAACTTCAACCTGATGTCCAATCTTACAGGTTGTGAAATACAACAACCGCTCGTGAGAAGGGGTATCCACACTTCCAGCTTCCCAGCCGTTCTCTGGTACATACGTAACAACAAATAAGAAATTTCAGATCATGTTGTTAATGTTAGATCAAAATAAAGATATAAATGTATAGATATATATATACAATACCTGTAATGTTCACAGACGGCTGTGCCATATTCACCCCTGCCTCCTTTTCAACTATTCTGTGTGGAAATCCATTGGGTGAAGAGCTTGAGAGAAGACCAGGCTTCATAGCTGCCGTATCCTAATGAAGTGAAAGAATGAAAACAGGATATATAGATAAATTGACTGCTCCATAATATAATAGAAAGAGCTGTAAAACATCAATTCAACTTTATGTTTTATATGTCAAGTCTCATGGAACGATGAGCGTGACATGCATACTGGCCTCCAATTTACTTTCATGTCGGCATTGAAACTCCTTTCAAATTTCTAAGGTCGATCTAACTGGTATATATTTTTTAGATCATATGTCACAGTCAAGTCCATACATCAATCTACTAGAATAAAACCATATTATTAGGGGTTAGTCAACTAAAAGCTATACAGAGAAGAAATGTGAATGATCAGCAAGTTTCACGGTATATTAAAGGAAGCTCTAAAATGGAAATGAACCACAGAGCTGAAACCCATAAAGTAACTCCGAAAAAAAAACTGCCCACAACATTTAATTTGCTATCCAATGTTCCAGATTCTAGGGATAAAAAGCCTAAAACTAGGTGTTCTATATCCCCTAACCAAGCTTTTGAATCCCATAACAATCAAATGCAGATTAACAAGGTTACACTGAATCAGTGTTACGAAATACACAAAACTTGAATTCATACATCAAAAAGCAAAATCATGATCACAGGCACAGCTCTAAAGAACAAATAACATGGAGAAACATAAAAAAAAAAACATTTTGTGTGGATGAAAAAAAAAACATTAAACAGAATAAACAAGGCAGCACACATAGCAGAAATCTCCAATACATACGAAATTGTTAATAGTCAGAGCACCAACGGAAACCCTAAATCAACCAACTGATGAATCACCAGATTCTCAAAATTTTGGCACAAGTAAAGATGAAGGCAACAAAAACAGAATCTGAGTATTAAATAGACTTGAAAAAAAAAATGATATTTTTACCTCTCAATGAGGTAAAATAAACAACCAACCTCTCAAAATCAATGCTAAGAGGAGACGATAACTTCCGTCGCAACGAATTAGGGTTTTGGGACAGAATTAGGGTTTACCGGCGAGCTGCGGTGAGAATCGCGGTAAACGATTTAGTCAACAATAAATCTCCAGAAAAAGAGATTTTGATTTTGATTTGATCCTTTTTTTTTTTTTTCCTTTTTTCTTTTTTTGTTTGCAAGGAGAAAATTCAGGGAAGAAAGTAAAGAAAGAACAGCAGATTGGTTCGGTTGTGTAATATACGAGGCGAGGGTACGATCAGCTACGGAAGAGCGTATGAATCATACGGTATGATTAAGTTATTGGGCCTTTTCTTATGATCCGGTATGATTAAGTTATTGGGCTATTATGATGGGTTTGACTTGAGTGACTCTAAATTTGAAACCATTCACAATTTCGGTTTTGCACGCTCTATCATTATTTTTCAACGTTTAAACTTTAGAGCAATCAATTAAAAAAAGGAAATTTTAATGATGAAAAATGTAAAACCGTTAGATTAAAGTAAGTACAAGAAGAATCAACGGTGAATCCATGTACAATAATAGCCGTTACAGATATGCGGTTGTATACATATATCGTAGAATGAGATCTGATTTCACAATTTGTTACAAAACAAAACCTTCGCTTTTTCTTTTTTCTTTTTTCATTCTTTTTCCAAATTTTTCTCTCTTCTGGGTTTTTCGAGTGAAGAAGAATGCTTCGAAGACTCGTGAAGGAGATTCATGTTAAGTAATCTTAAAGATTGGTATGTATTTCGATTCCTCTGTATCGTGAATCTGTTTATTTAGGATTTATATAAGTTTTGTGTTAATTGTTCTTATATATGTTTGTAACGATCTAGGGTTTCTGATTTTGGTCACGGAACTAGTTCAATCGCATGGGTTTTCTTCTCCGTCATGGTGGTTTGGTTTGGTTTCTTCCTCTGATCCTCTCTTCTTTAATTTAGGGTTTTTGGATTTACTAATTGTTTTTGTGTTGTACAGATCTAGGGGTTATGTTCGGTTTGGTTTGCTTCAACACGGTACAGTAGAATGGGTTTCTTCTCTGTCATGGTGATTTGGTTTTGTTTCATCCTCTAATCCTCTCTTCGTGTTTTTAGGGTTTTTGGATTTACTAATTGTTCTTGTGTTGTACAGATGTAGGGGTTTTGTTTTGTTTGGTTTGATTCAGCATGAAACTGGTACAATCGAATGGTTATGTTGATTTGATTTGGTTTCTTCCTCTGATTCTCTCTTCGTGTTTATATTTTTTAGGGTTACGAATTCACTAATCGTTATTGTGTTGTACAGATCTAGGTTTTTTTTTTTGTTTGGTTTGATTTGGCATGATACTATTAAAATCCGTTAAGGTATCTCTCTGTCTTAACCCGTTTTGTTGTGTTTTAGTTTTTGTGCGTTTTCAGGTTTTTGAAGATTGAAATCGAACGAGTTCAATTGATCAGTTCACGGTTGGGTTATGTTTTTGTCTAACCCTTGAAGCTTGTCTCCGCTTCGTCGAGGTATTTCTCTGTCTTAACTTCTTTTTCTTTTTTGTGTTTTGTTTCTGTGCGTTTCCTAAGTTTTTGAGGATTGAAATAGAATTGGTACAATTAACATTTAACTTCTGATCATATTTAATGTTTTTGTTTGATTTAAGCAATCAAGATTGTTTTTGTTTTTGGTTTTGGTTTTGTTTTCTTGATCCAACATTAAAAACCTTATTCACTTTGTTAAGATCCCAGATCTGTTTTTGGTTTTGGTTACTTGATCTGCGGATTTTTAGTTTTGGAGCTTTTAAGTTTTGATGTTTTTGTTTTTGTTTTTGTTTTCTTCCAAAACCCAAAAAAGATAAAGGGCAAACACTAATCTAATAGCGTTCTGTCAGATTCTATTTTGGGGACATTGTCCCGAGAAAAATTGTGAATTGTTGGCTTGGTAGTGCATGCATGTTGGGAATTGGAAATAAGGTTGCGATTTGTTGGATGATCCTATGGCTTTTTAAGTCTTGAAAGAAAAGACATTGGTAGGGAACTGTTGGCTTGGTAGTGCATGCTTGTTGGCAAAAATTATAAGATAAGAGTCAAATGACTTTGAATGGGAATGAGCTAAGAAAAAAACATCCAAGAACCAAAGTGTTCTAACAGTTTGGTACCCTCGGCTTGTAAAAACATAATGGGAAAGAACCTTAAGACATTAAGATAAAAGACATTGAAAGGGACCTGTTGGTTTGGTAGTGCATGCATGTTGGAAAAAACTATAAGATAAAGAATCAAATGACTTTGAATGGGAATGAGCTAAGAAAAAAACCATACAAGAACCAAAGTGTTCTAACAGTTTGGTACCCTAGGCTTGTAAAAACATAATGGGAAAGAACCTTAAGACATTAAGATAAAAGACATTGAAAGGGACCTGTTGGCTTGGTAGTGCATGCATGTTGGAGAAAACTATAAGATAAAGAGTCAAATGACTTTGAATGGGAATGAGCTAAGACAAAACACATGTACAAGAACTAAAGTGTTCCAACATGTTGGTAGCCTCGGCTTGCAAAATCATCATGGGAAAGAGCCTTAAGACATTAAGACAAAAGACATTGAAAGGAAACTAATGGTTTGGTAGTGCATGCATGGGTGGGAAAAGTTATAAGATAAAGGGTCAAAATGACTTTGAATGGGAATGACCTTAAGACAAAAGACATGTACAAGAACTAAAGTGTTCTAACATGTTGGTATCCTCGGCTTGCAAAATCATCATGGGAAAGAGCCTTAAGACATTAAGACAAGACATTGAAAGGAAACTAATGGTTTGGTAGTGCATGCATGGGTGGGAAAAGTTATAAGATAAAGGGTCAAAATGACTTTGAATGGGAATGCCCTTAAGACAAAAGACATGTACAAGAACTGAAGTGTTCTTACATTTTACTTGGAAAATCATAATGGGAAAGAACCTTAAGACAAAAGACAAAAGACATTGGAAGGGAACTGTTGGCTTGGTAGTGCACGCATTTTGGAAAAACTATAAGATTAAGAGTCAAATGACTATGAATGGGAATGAGCTAAGACAAAAAAAAACATACAAGAACCAAAGTGTTCTAACAGTTTGGTACCCTCGGCTTGCAAAATCATCATGGGAAAGAGCCTTAAGACATTAAGACAAAAGACATTGAAAGGAAACTGTTGGCTTGGTAGTGCATGCATGTTGGGAATTAGAAATGAGGTTGCGATTTGTTGGATGATTCGGCTTTATAAGTCTTAAGGGAAAAGACATTGAAAGGAAACTATTGGTTTGGTAGTGCATGCTTGTTGGGAAAATTTATAACATAAAGAGTCAAATGACTTAGAATGGGAGCTAAGAGAAAAGACATACAAGAACCAATGTGTTCTAACAGTTTGGTACCCTCGGCTTGGAAAATCATAATGGCAAAGAGCCTTAAAACATAAAGACAAAAGACATTGGAAGGGAATTGTTTGCTTGGTAGTGCATGAGTGGGTGGGAAAAATTATAAGATAAAGAGTCAAATGACTTAGAATGGGAATGAGCTAAGACGAAAGACATGTACAAGAACTAAAGGGTTCTAACATTTTGGTACCCTCAGCTTGGAAATCATTATGGGAATAATCCTTAAAGACAAAAGAGATATGACATTGGAAGGGAATTGTTGGCTTGGTAGTGCATGCATGTTGGGAAAAGTTACAAGATTAAGAGTCAAATGACTTTGAATGAGAATGAGCCTTAAGACAAAAGACTTAAAAGAACCAAAGGTTCTCAAAAAGGGGGTTAGAAAAGGTAAAAGACTTTGGATAGGTAGTGCATGCAAATTAGAGTAAATAAAATGAGTTATAATTGGTTGGATGGTAAAAACGACCAGCAGAGTAAGAAGACTTAAAACCAGACAAAGGAGCAAAAGACTTTGGAAGGGAATGAACTTTAAGAAAAAGAGGGAATAGAACTAAAGATTTCTCAAAGAGGGGCTTAGAAGAATCATAAGACAAAAGGGAAAAGATTTTGGATGGGTAGTGCATGCAAAGTAAAGTAAAGAAGAACAGTTGCGATTTGTTGGATGGTAAAAACGACTAACAGAGTAAAAAAGTCTCAGAACAAGACAAAGGAGTCAAAAGACTTTGGAAGGGAATGAACTTTAAGGCAAAGAGGGAATATAACCAAATAGTTCTCAAAGAGGGGCTTAGAAGAATCATACGATAAAAGGGAAAAGACTTTAGATGGGTAGTACATGCAGAGTAAAGTAAAGATGAACAGTTGCGATTTGTTGGATGGTAAAAACGACCAGCAGAGTAAAGAATGCTCAAAACGAGACAAATGAGTCAAAAAACTTTGGAAGGGAATGAACTTTAAGAGAGAGAGAGGGAATAGAACCAAAGAGTTCTCAAAGAGGGGCTTAGCTTGAAGGTAAAAGACTTTGGAGAAGTAGTGCATGCAAAGGAGAGTAAAGAAGATCAGTTGTAATTTGTTGGATGGTAAAAACGACCAGCAGTGTAAAGAAGTCAGTTGCGATTTGTTGGATGCTAAAAATGACCAGCAGAGTAAAGAAGTCTCAAAACCAGACAAAGGAGTAAAAAGACTTTGGAAGGGAATGAACTTTAAGACAAAGAGGGAATATAACCAAAGAGTTCTCAAAGAGGGGGTTAGAAAATCATAAGGTTAAAGGTAAAAGACTTTGGATGGGTAGTGCATGCAAAGTAAAGTAAAGAAGATCAGTTGCGATATGTTGGATGTTAAAAACGACCAGCAAGGTAAAGAAATCTCAAAACCAAACTGTGAATTCAGCATATGACTTACAAAGTTGCAAGGAAAAAATACTTGACAAAGGATATGCAACATGATTAGACTTGACACCAAATAACATAAACGAACGAGGTAAGTATATGACATTCACGTTAAATGAAGACTAACAAATTCTGTTTTTTTTTTCTTTTCAGGTATATGGATATGTTAAGACTTTGAGTTGAGTTCAAGTAGCAAACTTCTTTGACAGGTATATATCTTTCAAACCTTTTTGTTTTTGTTTTAATGAGCTTTTCAAACCTGCAAGTAATTAGTTGATACTATTATGAAAATCACTAGTGAGAGACATATATGTGAAATATAGACTATTTTTGTTTTTACAGGTAAGTACTTCAGAAAAATGTTGAAATTCTAATCGTAGTATGATCATGTATGCTTTTCTCGACTCCTCTGTGATAAATTAATTAAAAATATTGTTGATTTTACTTTAGGTATTGGAACTGTACAATGTGTTGTTGTAATTCTTTTACTCGCTCTGTTTTGGTGCTTTTGTTTCATCATGTCTCTTACTCTATATGATGGAGGCATCTTAGAGTCTCTTGCTGATATATATATTGACATAAGTGCAACTTCTATAAATTATGATTGTAGTTTCCTTGAATCTTGCAAGAATTTGTTTGGTGTTTTGCTTTAAACCTTTGGTGAGTGTTTTAAACATGTGAATGACATTCTATAATTTTACTTTAGCCATTGAAACATTACTTTGTTTAAAATACATATTATTTTGGTAGTGTGCTTTCTCTTTATGTCTTTTGGGATCTTCTGCAAATACGTATTTTGAATCTTGGTAGTGTACTTTCTATTGGAACATTACGTCTTTGTTTAAAATACTTATCATCTATTCTTTGATAGTGTACTTTCTTTTTACGTATTTTGGGATCTTCTGCACGTTATGGGAATAGTCTTATTGAATCTTTTTCTCTTTGGTTTGATCTTTTTATACAATAGATAATGATTGAAATATTTATGTTATTGCATGAGTGCATATCCATTGGTCTTCTAGTGATCTAACATAGGCAATGTAACTCTATTGAATCATTTGGTGTATTTAGTTAGAAAATGCAATGGATTTTCTTGATTGTTTACCATAACGTCTCTTGTCTTATGATCATAAGGCCCTTTGGTTTTTTTCTCTTTCTCTGTCTTAGTGCTTTTTTTTTTTATCATTTTTACTCTATGTAATGGAGACAGCTTAGAGTCTCGTGTAGATATTTATTTTGACGTAAGAGCAATATCTATAAATTATGATTGTAGTTTCCTTGAATCTTGAAAGAATTTGTTTTGTGTTCTGCTCCAAGCCTTTGGTGATTGTTTTAAACATGTGAATGACATTCTAGAATTTTACTTTTAGCTTTTGGAACATTACATTGTGTGTCTGTTATACTTATCTCTGTTTGGGTAGCATTTTATGAAATAGATTCATCCTTGGATCTTCTACATACAAGTACTTTTGAATGTATGTGATGACCTACTAATTCACATTATGGTAATAGCATTATTGAATCTTGAATGTATTTGTTTTGCATTATACATATATGTTTTAAACCCTTGGTGATTGTTCTACGCAAGTGAAACCACATTTTGGAATTTTGCATTGTCAGCTAATGATTTATGATTACTGTCTTAGATTCTATAGATAGTACCTCTTTAACTCTTGGATTTACTTGAATCTTGAATGGATTTGTTTTGTGCCATGTTCTGAATTCTTGTTCTTGGTAATACATCTGAAGTGACATTCTCAGATTTCTGCATCACTCACTGATGATTATTGTGTTAGATTTTACTACTTGTATTTTGTTGGCTTTATGCTAAGTACAATATATGATGATTGAACTATTTATGATATTGCACTAGCGGTGTCTACCTTTCTCTTAAGTTGTACCAAGTCGACAGAACTTGGATCTCTTTTGGATCATTTTGTGTATTTAGTTAGAATATGCATTGGATATTTCTTGATTCTTTTACTAAGCCTTCTCTTAATTACAAAATATGTATGGTCATATAAATAGAACACAGTTCTTGCATTTTGGTTGGTAGTCCAATAATTTTTTTTATGTTTATTGTTTGGATGATACCATTTTGGTTGGTCATATCAAGAACACAGTTCTTGCATAGGAAACGTCTATAGTTAGTAGTATAGACGTTCAAATTAATCTAAACGTCTAACACCAATCTAGACCGATAACTAGAATAACGTATCGATTCAAAGTCTAAGCAACTAAAATATTTGTATGACCCTTTCATAATAGTTCTTACAATACAAAAATATTTCAAAACTTAGTGTTTTGGAAAATAAGATCTTAGTCATTAGAGTTGACAATACAAATATACTTCAAAACTCAATACGTTTTCTAATCTACTATTCTCTTAAAATATATGTTTTCTAACATTACAAAGCCATTGTCTTTAGTTATCAAAACTAAAGTTAAAAGTTTTTTTTATGTACTTTCTCGTAGGTCTGGGATTAAAAACCGAATCGAAATAAGCAGACCAAGTCGAACCGATATTTCAGGTTTTGGTTTGGTTTCGGTTATGGCAGCTGAACCGATTGGTAAAAAAAATTGAAATATTTCGATTAATTCGGTTCGATTATTGGTTAACCAAAATTTTTTAAATACATTTATCCTTAAAATAACCAAAATAATCAAAATATTTGAAATAAAATTGAAAAACCTGAAATAACCCAAAATTATCCTTAAAAATCCAAAAAACACATCTTTGTAATAAAAAAACTAAATGTTGGTTTTACAATTCTAAAATCGAATTAACCGAAAAGTAGAAATAGCCGAACCAACATACCCAAAAAGCCGAAATCTCAGGGCTACTTTCTCGTATTATCGTACACGACCTGTCCTAAGTCCTATCTCATAAACTCTACCAAAAAAAGTAGGAGCCAAACGAACGACCAACATGTATTCAAGTAGTTACATGAGCTCCAAACTGCAAATGTAAGTAACCGAAATTAAAGTTGCGGTCTACCAATTCCTATGTGTGTGGAATGGTTTGATTTCTCCTTAAATTTGTTCCATATCAAAATTATTAAAGCTAATACGATTTTGCTATCTGCAAGGGATTTGCTAACTATTCAGGAGATCCAAAATTGCATAATTTCATGATTCGAAAGACTTAAAATAAGTAAAGTAGAGATTAATCTATGCTTAAAAACGAGTTTTTATTATCAAGTTATATACACACAAAAATCAATAAAACTATAGAGTAATACTATTAACGTGAAGAGACAATATTTTGAATGATGTTATCTAAAATAGGTAACGGTAATAAATCAACAGTTAATAATTTTCCTGGTACCTTTTTTTTTTGGTTCCGTTCCGTTTAAGAAAAAAAATAATAATAATAATAATAAAGAATTTATTTATATCATTAAGAATCTTAAAGATGGCATGTGGCAGAGAGGATCAAAGTAGACCACACTCTTCGTGAGTTTTGCAGTGTCCAACGAACTAAAAAAAAACCCAAATCTCAAAGCTTTTTCACTTTTTCCCCAAATCCGCAGATTCTGCTTCTTCTTCAGCTTTGTGTTTCTACAGTGACTGTGAGAGAGAAAGTTCCATACTTGACACTGTATTATCTCCCACACACACTCCCCTCGTTCTCTCTGTCGCTTTGCAACCATACGAAGAAGAGAGAGAGAGACAGGGAGAGAGATAAAGAGAGCGTTCAATGCGAATTTATGGGTTTGATTTACAGATCTGTGTGTCTTAATCTGTCTCTGGCGTAACGGTCATATTTAACCGATTTCAATTCGAGCTCTTCAAATCGCTGCGTTTCTGTTATCTCGGACCTCTTCCAAAGTCGCAAGTGTAAGTCTTTCTCTGTTTTGTCCTCTTTGTATCTGCACTCTGCAAGAATTGTTTTTTTTTTTTGGGTTTGGAGTTTTCTTAATTCCTAGATTTGATCTGGGTTTTGCTTATAAATGTGATTTTTTTTTCTGGATTGATTTTTTAGGGTTCGTCTAGTGTGAGAGACAGGGAGAGATGCTGACGTGTATAGCGTGCACGAAGCAGCTTAACACCAACAACAATGGCGGATCTACTCAACAAGAAGATGATGAAGATGGTGTTATTGGGACACCTAGGACTAAGCAGGCGATTAAATCACTGACGTCACAGGTAGATTAAATCTTACATCTTTCCCATTTCACTTTCATGGATTGTGTTTGGATGTAAGAGAAAATGACAAAACAAAATAAAACACAGACTCGTGGTTTGGTAGAGATTTGACTACTACTAGTCTTAATCTACATTTCTTTTGTGTTTGATTATTTCTTGAAACATTTATTCCTCTGAATTGTCAATCACTCTCTTATCTGTAAATTTTTGTCAAAGCATGTGACTCTTGTACTTATGTGACTACTGTTTCATTTCAGCTAAAAGACATGGCAGTAAAGGCTTCAGGTGCTTACAAAAACTGCAAACCTTGTTCTGGGACATCAAACCGGAATCAAAACCGAAACTATGCTGATTCAGATGCTGCTTCTGATTCTGGAAGATTCCATTATGCATACCAGAGAGCTGGGACTGCTAGCTCAACTCCAAAGATTTGGGGGAAGGACATGGACTCCAGGTTGAAAGGGCTTTCTAGTGAAGAAGGTACTCCTACGTCAATGAGTGGCAGAACAGAATCCATAGTGTTCATGGAGGAGGACGAGGCCAAGGAATGGGTTGCGCAAGTGGAGCCTGGTGTTCTCATCACATTCGTGTCATTGCCTCAGGGAGGGAATGATCTAAAGAGAATTCGGTTCAGGTGATTTGTTTAACCAATTGATCTGTTTTTGCTGTATTATTAGGTTTTGTAATTCTTGATCTGGTTAGGTTTCTTGTCACATCCATGACTAGTACAATTGTCGAGGATAACACTAGGCTCTCTATTACCTAGACTAGTTTCTGTCATGGTCGTCAAATATGGATAGTTACACATCAGACACGTTCCCCTTTATTGCTAAGCTAACAAGAGTTTGGCTGATTTAAGGCTAGATGTTTTAAGATTGCTACTTCTTGCAGTCGTGAGATGTTCAATAAATGGCAAGCTCAAAGATGGTGGGCAGAGAACTTCGAGAAGGTTATGGAGTTATACAATGTGCAGCAGTTCAATCAGCAGAGTGTGCCGCTTCCAACTCCTCCTGTATCTGAAGATGGGGTAATGCTACTTCACTATTGAACACGCAAAGCTTTATTAATTGACCATCACAAGTTCAGAACCAAACTTTATACGTTTTATCTCTCTTTGGGTTAAGACAATGTTGCAACTTTAAGCTTCAATAATCAAAATCATGTACTTATGTGCTAAATAGATTATTTGGAACAACCTTGTTGTGCCAGGGCTCGCAGATCCAGTCCGCAAAGGACAGTCCTGTAACTCCCCCCCTGGACAGAGAGCGACCACGCAGCAATATTCCAGGCTCTTCTGGTATTGAGTCAACACCAAAGCTCTCTAGCATCAGTGGAACCAAGACGGAAACATCATCTATTGATGGTTCTGCTAGAAGTAGCTCAGTAGATCGATCCGAGGAGGTATCAGTGAGTAATGCAAGCGACATGGAAAGTGAATGGGTAGAACAAGATGAGCCTGGTATCTACATTACTATCAGAGCTTTACCAGATGGTAATCGCGAGCTTAGACGCGTTCGATTCAGGTAAATAACACAAAAACCTATTGTGCTACATTACATAACACTCATTTTCTCAACATTGATTGAGCCAATGTTGGTTTTTTTATGTAGCCGAGACAAGTTTGGGGAAACACATGCGAGGTTATGGTGGGAACAGAACAGAGCTCGGATACAACAGCAATACTTGTGACTTGATAGGATTTACTAAGTTGAGCAGCTACAACACAAAGAACAACAACAAAAGACTTTATTAACAAAACACTTTTTTTTCTTTATAGTTAACTTCTAGCTCTATTAAACAAAGACTTTCTAGTTTCTCTTCTCAAAAATCATGCTTTTGTACTGTTAGATATTATTTATTTTTAGAGACCTAAATTCTATAGGAACAAGAATTGTCTCTCAGTAAGTTTGTTTTGTTTCTTATATAGTACAAAGTAAGAAATTATCATTTTCATTAGAGCAAAGGTGATTTATTAAGACGGAAATGTATATGATGAGTATGTTTTCTATTATCTAACAAACTGAGTTTGCCAGTTTACTTTTATGAATCTTATTATCTAAGTCCAACACTCGCCACAGCTTGGTCCAATGGCGACTGCACACCACATGGGGTTTGGACTTGGTGGTAACGCTGGGCTCGAGGTTGCTCCATCTCCTTCTCCAGTTGAAATCAGTGCCTAGCTATCCGCAACCACAGCTTGGTCATCTGTACTGGCCAGCAAACTTCTGAACAAAAAATCTAACATACTTACATGCATGTAGAGTGAATCAGAACAAACTAACCCAAAGAAAATAATGTGTTATTAATGTGAAAACGGCCAAACTGTACTTATTCCTTTATTCAGTGCGTAAATGTCTCAGTTCCATATGAATCCATAGCTCTCTCTCTCTCTCTCTCTATTTCGAAGGCAGGACACAAACATAGTTAAATTCTCTGGGTCAGGTAATGCGGTCCTGTCGTCTCTATGAAGTCAAAATCAAATGGGGAAAAGCAGGAAGAGAATTTTATAATGCATGTGCTTTGGTCTGTTTCTAGTGTTGTGCTTCTTTTGGAATACCATCTTCTCTTTTTCTTCTCTCTTTTCGCCATGAGATGGTTTTGGGATTTGGGTTGTGAGAGCTACTGTTGTTTCGAGTGATGTTTCATAGAAAAGAATGTGTTGTCATTGTTCTTCTTTGAGTTCTGTGTCATTCTTTTGTGTGCTTTTCTTGGGATCCCCAAAACATTTCTTTCATATACTCTCTCCCGGATTTTCATAAAGAAGAACATTGGTTCTTGAGCTTGACCCAACTTTCTTCTGCACTAAGAGAATATGAACGCCACTTTTTAAGCGAACCTCGTTAACTAGTTGGATCATGAGTAAGTTTATTAACTTCTTGATTACTTTACTTTGGTTTCTTTTTTTATAATATTGCACCCTACATATAATGACTATGACAACATGCCAATAAGATTCTAATTGATGTTGTTGTTGACAATTATGGAAAATTAGGAGTTGGTTTACAGAAAATGTCCTAGAATCTTAATCAAGTGCCTATTTGTTTCCTCTCTCTCTTTTATGTTTACCCTTTTGATAAATGATTGATCTCTATATGGGCTTCTAGTTACTTTGCCTTAGGTGATTTGGAGTAACTAATACTCTTTTTTTGTTTCATCTTTCACCCATATGTTCATTAGTGGTTTTCTTGTCTTTAATGATTTGTGATAGGATCATAGGAGTCAAAAGCTAACATAAGTAAGACTTATTACTATATACTGGAAGCATGGATTGACAAATAGAGTACTTTGAGTATCCTAATTAAGATTGTTTTAAATTATAACTTAAACTCAAAAATGGTTGAGAAGACGAATATGGCTAGAGTATATACTAGGGTAGTAGGGTTTATCAATTAGGGGGTTTAGAATTAGATTAGGTGACATAATCTTTTAATAAATGAAGTCTTTTTTTTAGCAGATAATGATGGGAAATTAGGCTCTACTGACTCTATCCTCCTTAACTATCAAGCTTATAATGGAAAATTAAGTCATATCTCTCATAGATTGAGTGTAAAAATGTATGATTGGGTTGGTAATTATATACCCCCTAACCCTAAACCCTTAATTTGTTGAAATTATTTTCTTATGAATTTTTATAATTTGTCGTCTCTCAAGATATCAAAATGGAATCTCTTTTACTGCATGCACAAACTCAATATAATGAGAGAAACTGTCATTTTCTTATAAGTATACATGCGTGCAAACTCTGCTACTCTGAATTTTTGTGTGTGTTTCCAATAAAAATGGAGAATTTTTTTATTTATTTTTTTTATTGTATGAATGTAAAATTATTACTGATCAGTATTGCATAGAATCAATTACTTAGATGGAAAATCGTTGAAGTTTTTAATTCTTTTAATACCAACACATATATGTATTATTATTATTCATGCACTAAATACTAAATATTATTATTTATGCAAAGGGAAGAGATAAATTATGTGAACTACGTAAATATGAAACTGAAAATGAAGTTTTTGTGTGTTTCGTGTTCTTGTGATTAATTAAGCATGTTTAAATACATGTGCACGTTAAGCACATATCTTAAGATATGACTTTGTTTCGTTTGATCTAAGACAGGAATACGAATATCTTATAGAGGAAATTAATTGTCTGTTTGTTTATATAAAAAGCTAAGTAAAGAACAGCAAAAGTGTACGAGGATGGGTCCGGTTTAAAAAGAAGGTGTCATGAGTGGCAAGTTTCGTGGATTCGAAGGGACGATCATTTTTTACGTTTCATTTGTTTGTGTATATATATATAACTAGCAATTTATGTATTTGACAGAATATTCAAATTATAATAGAAATTATTTTTATTTTTCACGATCAAATCTAAGTTATTAGCTCTCTCACTTGACACGTTTTGAATCTTTATATTATCAATCAAACATTTGGAACAATTCAAACTCTTATCAAAACTCAAAACATCCCAAAATATGGTTATCATTTTCCTCTATTTCTAATGGTATTTTTTTTTTCTGTCAGCTAGCCCCGATGGACATAATAGAAAACTAGCTAATCTTAAGACTTAGCCCACGAGAGTAATCATTTAGCAAATGAGCACCATTTCACTTTTGGAACATGCTCTCTCATTCTTTAACTAATTTTATTTCCATTTTTGTTTTATTTTAATCTAAAAAGTTATAATCTCAACCAGAAAACAAAAAAAATAAGTTTGTACAAATCGACGTTTAAAGTTGTTTAATAGTAAATGTATATTAAAAACGAACAGTACGAATACGCGTAACGCATGCAATTAGGTGTATCATTAGACATACTAAAATTACAAAAGAGATTGCGGCTAAAAGTGGAAATAATACACACATTTTTTATTTTTTTATTTATTTTTTATAGTTATTTCTGTTTAGCTAACTGTATTTAAATACCTTGTAGGTGTAACCACATGCGAGAGACTGATTGACTTAAAAACTTATATACATACAATAGAGTTCACTTTTCTCTTAGTTAATCGTCTAACCTATATACTTCGATTGACATATGACTACCTTAATTATAATTGGCCGAAAAATAAGCCATGATAAAGCTTCTCCATGTAACAAGTACGAGTTAATGTGATAAATTCATAATTATCAATTTACGATATGCATAACGGGATTAACAATTACTTTATTAAATATATATATGATCATCAAAAGGACAAAGGTGAAAGAAACTGGGGAACATAGAATGATTTTAAAGTATGGTCATGTGGTGAAAATTAATAATTACTTATGGGGAAACAAAAGACAAGATAGAGATTTTTAACAGTGAAAATGATCAAAGTTGATAGCTCATAATATGTTTGGTTTTCTTTTAAAATAATTCTTTAAAACCAACTAATAAAAAAAAATTCGAGTGTTCACAAAATTTTTAATACTCACATGATCGAATATATTCCATAGTGTATTTTTTTTTTTTTTTGTAAACTATTCCATAGTGTATTTTAAGCTATGTATATATCATTTGACTATACATTATAAAATCTAGACTCGTAATTCTAATGCAGTAAAAGCATGTAATTATTAAGTTGATAGATAGATAAATGGAGTATGATCGTATAATCTCGGTTTACGTACCAAATTAAACGCCATTGCTTTTGTTAATTAGCTCATGGTTAATTTGTTACCTCATACTAATTAAGATGAGTAGCAAGGTAGTGGCTTGCAACATGATAACTGTTCATGAGAAGTGTTTTTGGGGATGTTGGTGTGAGGTCAAATAATGTGATTGATTGAGTTTGAGCCACTCACTCTTACTTAGCCGCATTACTTGACTATTCATTTTCTAAAGTCTTTCTTTTAACCATTTTTGTTTCACATCACACCATTTTCAATTCTTCTTTCTTTCTTTTTTTTTGTTGCCCACTTGTCTAAAAATTCTAAAGCAACAAAAAATCCTATATCTCTATAGTCCTAGGGTTTCGAAATATTTTCTTTATTACTCTTTTTTTTTTTGTCTCTTTGCCCTAGCTTTTTCTCTTTGACACATTGCTTCCGTTTTTGTTTGTACATTTTAAGACCAGCATACGTTTTGTACATTTTCACAGCATGCAAACATATATACACTGAAGTGGTAGAAACTTTTAAAATTTTAAAATGATGTAACATCAACTTATACGGAAAACTCCAACTAGATCAATATTGGATACAGGACTGTAGCAGAAATATTTGTTCTGAGTATTGAATATATATTTCCCAACGCAATGTAAATGACAACGATCATGCAGTCTTTAACTTTCTACAACGATCATCATGCTGTGTAATTAATAATTCCAGTATTTAATATAGTAATTATATCAATGGAACGTACGAATATATATTTAAGAAAGAAAAAGCTGTAACGGACCCAAGTATATCAATATCGGATTTAGTTGTTTCGTAATTTAATTTTTGGATCAAACAAAGTTGAAAACATCAACTAAAATGAAACAAAAAATTTTGGCTTAAAGATCACTTAAACTGAAACAGAAAAAGTATGAATTAACGATTTATACTATTTCTTTTGTGTTATAAAATTACACGTACCGTTTGTTAATGTGTTGCTTGTCGTTTTTGAAAAATGAATGATTTGTTAGAAGACAGATATGAAGTGTATGATCATCGATTAAGAATTTGGTTTTTTCTTGAGAAAAATAGAGAAACATAGTGTATGTTCATAGTGCTTTTTAAAAAATAGGGAGCTAACGAAAGTTTAACTAGAACTAACATCTAAAACAGCTTATTGCTGTGTCATAATGTATATATACAGTATATATTTATACATACATACATTACATATGTACATAATTTAGCTTCTGATTAAATATGTAATTAGTCTTACTGCTGTGTCATAATTTAGCTGACAAAAAATTGAAATTTAAAAAGAAATCTGTTGCCAACAACTCTTTTCCAACCTGGCAGCCAATTCCACCAAAATAAGAAAAAAACAATTTAATAAAAGAAAAGAAAATAACACGTGGCAATAAATAATAATATATTTCTGATAAGACCTCTTTCTTCCTTCTTCCTCTCACACATTCACATTACTACACAAACACAACACACTCTCTCTCTCTATCTCTCTGAAAGCAGAACACAAAGAAACAGAGCGTGCGTTCCCCTTCTTCTCTCTTCTTCACTCTCTCACTCTCTCTCTCTCTTAATCATTCCTCACCAGACTCCCAACACTATCATTCCCTTCTTCCTCTATAAAGAATCATCACTTCTTCTCTTCTCATGGATCCTTGGAACTTTAACGAACCTAATTTAGACCTCCACCACCACTACCGTCTCCGCAACCATCGTCATCCTTCTTTCTCCTCTTCTCTCCTCGACCAAATCTACCGCTCCATCGACGACACTTCCTCTTCCACTGACCTCTCCTCCATGAGAAAGACCAAGCACCATCAGAGCCGCGATGACACGTCTCGCGTTCCTTCTTCTTCCAACCGCCGCACTACCGCCGACGATTTCATCAGATCCAAGAATCTTAAAAAACCTGTTTTCTTCAAGCACTCCTCTACTACTACGTCAAGCTCCTCCGACTCTAGCGGCGGCTTCTCCTCTTCCGAGTCTGAGTCTTTCTACAGACGATCTAAGTCCTCTCCCGCTCTTTCTCATCCCAAACCCATTCGAACCACCGTCGAACGATCTCCTCAGGCTCACCGACCTAACAGCACTAATAAACAAGAACATGGGAGCTTCCTCAAAACGAAATCAAAAGCTTTGAAGATCTACACCGATTTGAAGAAAGTCAAACAACCCATTTCCCCCGGCGGTCGTCTCGCCACTTTTCTCAACTCCATTTTCACCGGCGCCGGAAACACCAAGAAGCTTAATAAAATCAACACTTCCACCGTCAACAACTCCACAGCCGCGGCGCCATCTACAACCACCACGTGCTCCTCCGCGTCCTCATTCTCCAGATCTTGCTTGAGTAAAACTCCGTCTTCCAGCGAGAAATCTAAACGGTCCGTACGGTTTTGTCCCGTCAACGTCATCTTCGACGAAGACTCCTCCAACGCCAAGTACAAGAACAACAACAACAGCAAATTGTACGGAAACAACGAACGTGAATATGAATCCAGCACTCGCTCCCATCATCATCATCATCAAAACTTTGATACTCTAGAGATCCGAGTCATGGAAGAGAACCGTCGTATAATAGAAGCAGCTAAAGAACTCATGAGAACGTACCAGAAGAAACATGATCAAGAAGATGAAGAGGAGGAGGAGGATGATGCGTTGAGTTGCACGAGCTCTGATCTGTTCGAATTGGATAACTTATCGGCTATAGGAATCGATAGTAGGTATCGAGAAGAGCTTCCAGTTTACGAAACCACTCGGTTAAACACGACTCGTATTGTTTCACGATGATTAATAATAGTTACAATTTAATTACTTTCATTTAATTTGGGGTGGATTAATATAATTATTAAAGCATTTTCTGAGTGAGAGAGGTTATATCATACAGTGTGTTATAATAGTCTTTCGTTTTTAGTATGTTCCGAGTACGTAACTTGTGAGTTTTTTGTTTGTATTACTAATTGGATTGGATCATTGAATCATCTCAAATTTTATAATTTGGATTGTAACTTAAATTACAACTTCGAAATCAAGAGGGCGCCAGAGACGAACGAACATGTTTGATCATTGAAGAAGAAGAGTTGAAAATTAAAAATAAAGCAAAAGTCAGATTTTCTAACCTTTGTCATCAATTCATACAGCAAAGGGAAGTTGAATTTTTTTTATCATGTCACCTGATGGGATCCACCCATAAATATAAGTATATATATGTTTTCAAATATATATACTTATATATATATATATATATAAGTATATATTATTGGTTTTGTAACTTCAAATTATTTTATATCTATTTATATTGTTTTCTTGGATTACCAAACCAATCAGAAAATGGAGTTATGTTTATATCCTAACTACAGTAAAAATTACAAATATTTTTAATGTGTATAAGTAGCAGTAAACATTATCGTAATAGATACTGGGTCTGATTGTTAACGTACTCAAATTTGTAAAAAAAGTTGTAAGTGAGAACGGTAAATTTTTATGGAATAGTGCAAAATTGTAAAAAAAAAAAAAAAAAGAAGAATTTTTTTTTAATAATTTTTATAATTGGTAAAAATAAAAACTGTATTATTTGTTCAACTGTTCTTAATGTCACCTATCAAAACCACCATGTGATTTCTATAGATGTTAAATTGATAATTTAAAACGAAATAGTTTACATTGAATGAGGTAATTAAATTTTTAAAGTTTTTTAACCAGATCGTTTTAATTTCACTCGTCACACATATAACAATCTCTCCCAAGTTGGAGAATTCAGTTACCAATGCTTCTGTTGTTTTACTTTCTTTGACGCATACTTTATAAAAAATATAATATAGGAAAGTAAGAATATATGATTTGATGTTACTAAATACCAATTATGATAAACAGAGATATAGGGGGACAAGAGTGAAAGAGACATGGTCTCAAATGTCATGGACAAGAGTATCCAATAATTTGATTCTCTCCTTTTTTACTAACGTTTTAATCTTCTTCTTTATTTGCTTTCTGGATTTCATTGGCTTGTTTAATTTTGTCCCAAGTGCGACTTCAAGATCACAATTTGGATTATATGAATGATGTTCTCGTATATTTCTAAATTACACCTTTAATACGCATGGTACTCAAAAACTAACATATATACCATCATGTATGTTAAACACTTAAATATTTCCAAATGGTCCTAATAGTTCTACAGTTATTTACACTATGCATCTCGAAGTAATACTAGTTATAGTTATTTAGTAGGGATCCAAATATGAGTTCATCATATATGTACATAAATAAATAATGGTTAAATAATGGCCTAATCATAGCAGTATGATACGATACCCTTAATAAAGCTATTCAAACATTCTTAATTTGATAAGTACACTTTATTAAAGTATGAAACAATTAAGAAGAGCAAAAGGGGTAATCCGTGGCCAGAAAAAAAAAAACCAAAAAATTCCTATACAAAGGGAACAACATATAAGACCACTTTACTTAAACACAAATACGATAAATTAACATAGTTTCCATTAAATTATATTGCAACCTTAATTAATTCCACTATAACTAATTATCAAACCCAAGTAACACAATTTAATTTGTATCCGCGCACAATCGCGCTTATACAAGAAATATAAATGTAGATTGTATCTTTCAGGTGGCGACAACTATAATAAGCAAGAAGCTGGTGAACATAGCAATCAATAAAAGCAATAAGACAGCTACGTATCGTATATAAAACTATGCCATAAAAATTACGTGTATCTGATATAATAAATTAAAGAGTGAAGGGGCATAGCATGTGCCCATATATACATAATACATATAACAACCCATGCATGCACGACTCGTCATTCTCATGCACTCATCACTCACAATGTCTAGCTTAATTTGATGGAAACCACAAATAGTTCCGTGAATATATAGGTAAAACGTTAGCTAAAGATGTTGTATCGGACCAAAATTAAGCAGACGACGACGACTAGTTTGGTTCTGAGACGAATCTCTTGTCCATTTGTTGATTATTAATACTTAATTGGATATTAGTTGTTCATATATAATATCAACAAATTCGGGTGAATGGATCAAACATGATATAATCAATGTTTCTACGTGTTTAAAAATGAATGATATGGTCCGTAACTCCGTATTACGATTTAGTTACGACTTACGAAACAAACATATCTGATGGTTTTGGAGAAAAGAAAAAAAACGAAAGAGACAGAAGAGGAAACGAATAAAGAGGGGGCACGTGGAGAGACCAAAACAAGTGGATATGACTTTAGCCCGCACGTGACGGGTGGCCAGTTTATGTCTTGTGGTTGTCGCGCGTGCACACGTGTGAACTCCTCCTAACTCTTTTTGTTTTGTTTCACACGTCACCTGTGTGGGACAAGTTTGAAAAGAAAATACTGTACTAGTAACAGTACTCCTCCATTATTTCCTTTCACAAATATAGTCAAAATATGACCAATTGACTTTATTTCTTCTTCTGAAATATGTTAAACATGAGGTTCAAGAGCCTGGTGTTAAAAAAGAAAATCTAAAAAAAAAAAAGAGAAATCAAGAGCTTTTTTTGACAATTTTGTCCGTTGTTCAAATTTTAGCATTGACAGAATTTGAAACTGTAAATATATCTGTTTAAAAATAAATAAAAAATAAATATCAAAACTGATATTTTTGACACAACATTTTTTTTTTTGTAAACATATTTTAAATTCAAAATAAAATAAGTAAAGGAATCATTTTATTATGGAATAAAAAATTAACATGAATGAAGGAAAATAGTGTTAATAAATCCAAATCTGATGTCAAAAAAAATAAAAAAATCCAAATCTAAATTGCTAACTGAATTAATTTGTTTTTTTCCGTGTGTGAGGTTAACATATATTAAAATTAAAATGCTATGTACAACTACATTTGATAATTATAAGATTATATATTCTATTTAAAAACAAAACAAAAAAGAGAAAAAGAAGAATGTTTTGTTTAGATCCCCAAGAATATGATTGTCAGTCAGTCACAGATTTGCAGCTTTTGTCTAAAAGAGACGACACGGCGTCGTATTAACATCTCTCTCTCTCTTCTCCTCTCCACTTCTTCTTCTTCTTCCTTTCTTTTTTTGTTTTTTTTTTTGTTTTTTTTTGTTTTTATGTATTCATTATAGAAGGAATATGCTTACATTATGTTTGATCCCAATAATTTTTATAAGTAAAGTTAAATGGGTAAATGTAGATACAATACTTAGTGATTATTGATAGTGCCAATAATGGAATATGTAGGTAGGTTAATCATTCGTCGTGTGAAGAAGTTAGACCTAACTTGCGATTTCAATAATGCTGAATTTGGAAAGATACAACAACAACAACAACGTTTAGGTTATATAATTAATGACCAGATGCATCAGCTTTGGATTGAATTAAGACAAATGAATTGTCGCTGTTGCTGTTTGTTGGTCGATTGATTAGTCCAAAACAAAACACTCTGATCATCTCTATCGCCACAATTATTGTTTTTGTCTTTTTGCTATTTCTTTTTTTCTTTCCTTTTTTTTTTTTCATATGCTACAAGTTGAGATATAGACAAAGAAAATGATATTTTCAAGTACGCAATTTAATTTTTATTAAAAAAAAAAATTACTCGAAGATTTGTACTAGAAAAAATGTTACCTAAATCATTTTTCTCCGATTTTTTTTTTTTGTTTTGGTTTTGGTTAAAATTAATTTAAAAAATTATGCTTAAACGAAATAAACAAAAGGTAAGAAAAATTAAACTCCGTTTACATCATCCGATACAGGTATAAATATTCAAAATTTATCGTACCATATCCCAAAAACAATTGATCTAAATATTAATATATCATTAGCTACAATTGAAAGTTGATTTTAATTTAAATATATGGTAATTAACAAAAACAAAAAGTAGAATGAAATTTTTTTTTTTTTCAAAGGGGGGGGGGGATGATAATTAATATAAAGCCCAATCTAATAAGGGCTTTAAAAGCCCAAAACGTAACCTCAATTTGTTTTCCTGAAATAGACGGAAAGAAAACAACAGAGTAACGTTTTTCTTCATCAGCTACGCAAAACCACCAATGGCGACGGAGTCGCCGAGCTCTGTTCGGAAAGGTGAGTCTTTTGATTAATCCATGTAATTAGGAGATTAAATCGATCGAACCCTTCGATACATATCAGTTCAAATAGGAAAAGGGAATTTGTATATGTTGAAGATTTCTATGTCGTATGACTTGGGATTTGATAGACTCTAGTGTTTGTTTATATTTCTCTCTTACAGTTGTTGTTCATCTGAGAGCTACTGGAGGTGCTCCTATTCTCAAACAGTCTAAATTCAAGGTAGACTCTTGTCACCTTCCTCGCAAATTAGGGTTTTGTTTGATCAGTTCTTCTGTAATCGATCATCTCATGTTTGAATATTTTGTATATATTTGGCTTTAACTTTGATGAATTAGGGTGTTGATATGAGGTTTTGAGTTGAAATTTTAGTGCTTTCAGCCTATTGTCTTGTTTTTTGTTAATATTGGCTTCCCAGTTCACAATTTTTGGCAAAATCATTCATACTTGTGATCTTTGTGTTGTTAATGTTCTGCGATTGCGACATGTAACAGATTCCAGGAACGGATAAATTTGCTAAAGTGATTGACTTTCTAAGAAGACAGCTTCATTCTGACTCATTGGTATATTAACACACAGCTTCTTCTCTCTATTGTGTATTGAATCTTATAATAAAAAGCTTAGAATGCGATTATCTGTCTGACATTGCTCTTTTGTTGGTAAAAGTTTGTTTATGTGAATAGTGCGTTCTCGCCGAATCCTGATGAATCAGTGATTGATCTTTATAACGTAAGTCTTCTCTAATCTCTGTGTTTGTGGATCAAGAATCTCTGTTTCTATTGCTTATAACATGGTTCTGGATTGGTATTTACAGAACTTTGGATTTGATGGTAAACTGGTGGTAAACTATGCTTGTTCCATGGCATGGGGATAAAACCAAATTACTACAAAAGTCTCAAGCTGTGTAAGCACACTCTTTTTACTCTTACTCTCTTCCTTTTCCGGTTTCAATGATCTACAAAACATCGATGCCATGCGTCTTGTATTGAACTTCAACTTTGCATTCTGGTTTCTTCAATTCCATAAGTTGTTTTAACCAAAAATCGAAGTCATATCTATAACATAACTGATGATGATGAGCGAATCGTATATGAGCTTAAGCTTTTCAATTATATCTTAAGCTTTTCAGGGTCACGCTAGATGCTTTGCTTTGTTGGGAAAGAAGACATTCTGATGAAAGTTGCTGTATGTACATAATCGGGCGATGGAATTGATACTTTTACCTTACATACATGTACATAAAGACCATATAAAAATTCAAAACGATAGATTGTCAATCTCGCATGCGATTTTCATCGGGCAAAAAAGTTTCTTTGTTCAGTTCTCAGAGATTCCAAAGGAGCGTTGAAACATTTTTATCTCTGCATATACTGTATCTTTGTTTTTTATGCTTATTTTTTTTTGTAGGTGAATGGGTAAACCGTAAACAATAAAAACTTGGAACAAAAGTCTATATAGTAAAATCTTGGTGACAAAAACTTCTAAGTAAATATAATTAACTTCTTCGATGCAATAACAAAAATAACAAAGGAACAGTTATTAGTTTTGTTTTTTAATCAAACAAAATTTGTTAGAATTATATAACTTGTAAAATCCAAACAGTTTCTTACCGGAAAATTAACTAACTTTCTAATTTTCACCATATTTAGCCTTAATCCGTTATTCCCTCTCTGAATTTTCCCGGGAAAATTTTACCATCTCTCCCAAAGGGGTCAATTTTTGCACCAAACAAATCCATCGTGACATCCATTTTCTATGGAGACTGGTGTTCCTTCTGAATATTAATCTATCGTGAAATCTGGTTTCAAACGGAGACTTGTAATTTCCGACAAAACAGAGAAAGTTATGTGTTTTTCCTACAGATGACGCACACACTTTGATTCCGGTGACGAAGACAGAGAAGACCGTTTTCTGATTCAATCACATGTAAAAATGGGTTTTCTGCATTGTCTCTTCAGATCTCGGAGCTTCATTATTTTGGTTCTCTCTCTGTTTCTCACCATTCACAGTTTCCTCCTCGTCGAATCACAAGAACCACCTCCTATTCTACAATCTCCTCCGCCTCCGCCTCCGCCGCCACCTCCTCCTCCTCCTCCTCCACCACCACCTCCGCCTCCTCCTCCACCGTCACCTGTCAATGTGACTGCTGAACCAGGCATTTCTCCACCGCCTCCTCCAGTCACGGAGACAATCCAGCCTGTGTCTTCTCCGCCTCCGCCATCTCGACCACCACCGAGGTCGCAACCCCCTCCCCATAAGAATCAGCCACGGCGGTTTCCGCCTCCACCCAGGCCTCCGGAGAAATCAAAGAGAGGTGGATTAAACAGAGGGAAGACTGTGGGACTAGTCTTTGTTGGGATAGTAGCAATGTTGCAGGTCATCGTTGTTGTCTTCTTGGTTTTCAAGAGAAACCAGCTTCTTAACTTGAAAGACACTAATTGAGATTCTAACCATTATTACTGGATATACGTTAATCCATTTGGCCATCTATTAGAGTGACGATTAGAAAGGAGAATGTCTTAGGAGGAAAGAAAATTGCAATTGTTTCAACTCTCATGTAAAATTGTTTCAGGAGTCTCATGTGTTTGTTCTTTCCAAGATTAATCTGATTCACCAAATGGTTTGGTTTGCACCATTATCTTGGCTTGGTTGGTTATGGTTCTTTAAATGACCTACTTTCTGCAATCTTTGGATGTGATGTCCAACGTGCAGCTTTTATGAAATGATGATGATGAGATGGTGATTGAGATGATGATTGAAACAATAATAGACATAGAGGCAAAGCTTCTTTACTTTGTTCCATTCTTTTCTATGTTTCTTAAGGTACAATAAGAAAGAAAGAAAAGACTTTGAAGAAGGAAGATAAGCGCCAGACATAACCCTGGCTTAAAGGTTCCAACGCGAACAACAAACAAGCCTGAAACTACATAGATCTCCAAGAGCTAAATATTTCATTTCCATTGTTTAAAAGTATAAACTTATGTACAAAGCAAACCAAAGTTTGATGCTAAAAAGAACTAGCAGAACCTTCTCTTCAAAACTGATACTCTTCATCAAATTGAATATTTTTACTTGTTGTGGAAACAGACTTGAAGTTGTTTTCCTTTGAAGCTCAGAAAGAATGTGCAAAGCGTGAAAAGGCTCTAGCGACCAGAGAAAACAAGCACAAGCACGGTGATCACAAGTGCAACAGAGAATATCAAAGCCTGCAAACAATTTTTAAGCAAAATAGATAAGTTGGTAAATCCTCTTTTACAATATTTGTCATTTTGAAGAAACTCGAGGAGAATGCATTGGATCCAATAACTCACAGCTATAGCAGAGGCAGCAAGACCAGATCTTTCCCGTGGATCTCTACGGTAATAGTTGATCAAGTATAGAAACGTTGCAATGTACCACGCTAATGGGAAGACAAATCCAAGAAGAAACCTAGCATAAACAGGTAAAAAGAATCAGCTTCAGCAAAGACAATATATCCAAAAGCCACAATAAATAAGAACAGAAAATAGAGTGAGTGAGAGGTGTTATACTCACGAGAACCATCCAATTCCACAACCAAAGCAAGGAAGGGGCTTATAGAAAAGTCCTAACTCAGAGTCCTCACCATCACGGTCACGGATAAGAATATACTTTCCTTTCTTTTGTTCCTCTAAATCTAGTAACAAATTTTCCAACATTCACAAGGAACTCAACAGTAAGAGACAAACACCCAAATAATGTTTGTCACAAGAATCATAAAAACACTAGAAGAGAAAGGACCAAAATTTTGTGAATTTTACTCGCAGTCATGGCGAAAGAAGTGCAATGGTAGGTATATTTTGTAAGGCCAATATAAACTCCCTCCCACCAAGTAACCTGAAACATCAATCAGAAAAAGATACACAGAGTTGTTTACGCATTGTCTCAGATAGAAAATGTGATAAAGGCAGAAGCTTTTTTTTTTTTATGTAAGAAAGACAAAGCTGAGATTTTTATACAGATATCAAAAAGCAACCAATGTCAAGCAGAGGAATTTTCAAATAGAAGTCTTGAGGGAGGGATCATGACTAACAAGAACGAAACATTCAGGAGAAATCTTAGAAAATCTACATTCCCTAAGATAATCCAAAACTCTGATGATCCAATACAAAGGAGCGAAATTACATAAGCCGTAGAAGTCTGAGCGTTTCCAGAAGTAAGCAATCAAGGAAAAAAACAAGCAAAACCCTATTGATCCTGGGAGAAAAAAAGGACGAATTTTTCTTAGTATAAAATTAAACGAGGGAGGGGGAAAAATCACCAGAAAATGCAAAAAAAAAGGTTGTTTCCTCTGAGAGAGAGAGAGAGAGACAGAGACAGAAAGAGAAAGAGAGATTGCCTGAGAGATTCGCGAGCGTGACCGTCGGCAAGAGAGATTCTTGGCTTTCGTTGCCAAACGTTTTTTTTGGTTCTTCTCAAATTGTTGTATTTATTTATTTGTTTTTTTTTTCCGGTCGAGTGTATTTATTTATTTGTTTATTTCGTTTTCGTCGTTTGCTGGAGATTTTTATAGATATTTAATTTTATTATTTTGGTTGTATAATAATGGCTGACAAAGATATATAATGGATTTTGACGCAGAAAAAAAAATACAAATCCAACACAAAAGTGTCAAATATTACTATTTCATCAAATTAATCAGAAAAAAAATAATTACAATGAATATGAAAAGGAAAAGAAATCTAGAATGTTTTAGTTTCGAAAATTCTCAAAAATCTCTCGAACTTTGAGTAGATCACTAGATCTATGTTAAAACCTAACTTTGGTTTCAGCAGAAATTTTTGGGATTTTGGTCTTGCGATTATGACCAAGCAACAACACTTGGAACAACGACATGTATCGGAACAACCGCACCAATATTTTTTTCCGCTCTTTCGTCGCTATTGAGGAAAATCGCAACGTTAATTTGTATACCACATGGGAAACCCCAATGATTTAATATAGTGACTTTGAATAACAACACTACTGTATTGGATGGACTCTTTTGCTTAATCACATAGCTTTTGCCATTCAGATGTTGAAGATAGTAAAGAGAATTGTTGTTTTGGAAAATATAGATTACGTGACTTACTCAAATCAAATCTATTTGTATCAGGTACGGTTACAAAACCCATCCCATATGATATGGGGTAGCTCAAAAAAAAGATTTAACAATTGTATAAATTAATGGGATTTGTTTCACCGCCCTCCATCAACAACACTTAGAAGTTAGAACCAGCAAAGAATTTCCTAAAACTCATGTTTACAGTAGAGAAATTCTGAATCCCACCCATATTTTTATTCAGATAAAACACAAATCTTTTAAGCCATTCACTTTTTTAAAAAAACCCCCAAAAGAAACTTAGATTTTCAACTTACGAAAACAAAAGAGAAATCTAATTGGTACAGAGTGTTAAACCAGAGAAATGCGAGCTCAGAGACCCTTACGAGCTTTGATGTCTGTTTTCAATTGTGTGGTTCTCTTTTAGAGCAACATAGATTCAGGGTTCTCGATGTATCCCTTAAATGATTTTAACCATTCAGCTCCAATGGCACCTGCAACAAAGAAGAAGATTAGATTTATACAATTATATGATGAATGAATTCATGATGATAAAAGAACCAGATTACCGTCTACTACACGATGGTCACAGCTCAGTGTAACAGGCATGTAAGAAGCAAAGTTGAACTGATCTGGACCGTTACCAGGGACTACTCTCTTTTCAGCTGTTTTTTTTTATAAAAAAGAATCAGACACAACATGAATCGGTTATTGGATCTTTGGCAAAGGTAGTAAAAAACCCTGTTCTGCAGTGAGAGAGAGCTTACCGGATCCGACTGCTAGAATGGCGGCTTGAGGTGGATTAACGACTGCACAGAATTGCTTGATGCCAAAAGGTCCTCCCAAGTTAGAGACCGTAAATGTTCCTCCCTGAGAAAAACGAAGATATTAGCCTGTTTATTGAAAGATATGATTTGTGAGTTAAGCTAATAAATTCTCTCACCTCATAATCTTCTGGCTTTAAGCTGTTCTCTTTTGCTTTTTGAGCCAATAACCGAACTTCTTGTCCAATTGTGGACAGACCCTTCTTGTCTGCGTCCTGGGATCAAGAATTTGACATGATTCAGCAATCTGAAGTTTTGCTACAGCGAAGCGTTAAACATTATTTTGCACACACCTTCACAACAGGGACATAGAGCCCGTTTTCTGTCTGCACTGCGACGTTGATGTTCACATTTTTAAACCTATAGAGAAAGGTTAAGATGTTTGCTACCCCATATATATTCAAAAGATTATCAATGTACTTACTGGCGGATGTAATCGTCAGTCCATGAACTATTGCACTGAGGTACTTTTCTGAGAGCTAATGCAGCAGCCTAAATTGCATGAAGATGGTAGGATATTTTAGAAGATCTATTGGCTTTTGCATGTTAAGTATACACAAGTAAGATGTACCTTAACAACAAGATCATTGATAGATATCCGTTTCCCACCAGAAGCCTCTTGGAATGAATTAAGCTGACTCCTCAGACTGCATATAAAAAAAAATAGCATTGTCTAACTTACCCATTGATAGCGACTTAAAATAAATCATCCCAGACTTAATACTTACCCCATAAGTTTGTCAACACATGTATCGACGGTTAAGTAATAGTGAGGTATAGTTTGCTTTGAGAATGCCAAACGTGAGGCTGTGACCTGTCAAAATTATAAAGTTAAAGAAGTTTCAGAATCCTTGGATAAATCGAAACTGGCTTAACAAGACTGCAAGGGTTATGTAGGTTTTACCTTTCGTATCTGAGAATGAGGGATGTCAACATAGTCCAAAGCTGGAACCTTAGAATCAGTTGACTTAGATGGCTTTGCAGTAGCTCCTTTACCACTTGACGCTGCACCATTAGAAGATGTAGTAGGACACAAGTATGAGTGATACACTGTAATAGAGGCAAGAAAGGTCTGAAAGAAAAAAGAAATGAAAGGAAGAGTCAAGGAGTTACTTTTACCTAAGTACTCATCGATATCTGCCTTCACTATCCGTCCTTCAGGACCAGTGCCTTTGATGTTTGAGAGAGGCACCTGATTTTTTCAAAGTCAATGAGAAGAAAAAGTAAGGAGGAAGATTAAGATAGAAAAAATAATATTTAGAACACTGTGATACTAACATTATTATCTTCTGCCAACTTTCTTGCAAGAGGACTAGCAAAAACACGTTCTCCTGTGGGAGGTGCGCTAGGCTTGGAAGCCTTCGGTTCAGGAGGCGATGATGGCTGTTCGACCTTCTCTTCCTTTGGTGGGGCAGGAGTTGGTTCTGCTTTAGTAGGAGCGGCATCAGCAGTAGGTGATGGGGTGTAATCTTTAAACTTTCCAATGTCCTCTTCATCTTCAACTGTAATAGCAATTACCTACTTGAAGGCAAAAGAAATTTGACATGATCCAAAAAATTCCATTTATATTTCCACAGATGGGCTGTGGATCCTACTACCAATACCCGAGTTCCATAAGAAACCATAATAATATATAACTCTACAGAAACCAGAATTTTTTCATACCTCGCCGACTTGAATTTCTTTTGAACCCTCCGCCTTTACAATCTTGGCGAGATATCCCTCTTCCATGCATTCCATTTCGACGGTTGCTTTGTCCTACAGCACATAACCTAGTTAGCGCTATTTCCAAAACATGATAATAAAAATACAGAGATGAGAATCAATCTAGATTGACATTACAGTTTCAACTTCACAGAGTACTTCCCCAGGAGCAACTTTATCACCTTCTTTTTTCAGCCACCTGGCAATGTTACCCTGAAAATTAGGAAAACAGCTTATTAGAAGGTAAAGATAAACGAACATAAGTTTTGATCAAGAATTTAATTAAGGTCCATGCCTCAGTCATTGTTGGCGAGAGAGAAGGCATCCCGATCTCTTGATGAGGAGGCAGATCTGAAACACATTTCAGAAATTCTAGGTGAAATGAACCAATGTAAAGCTCATACCATTTAGCAATCTCAAGTTACACAATTAGTTAAGCACTATGCGATTGTCTTAGCAAGGATTTTGCAATAAAGCCCTAAAACCATTATGCAGATACAGAATTAGCATATTCAGGAATGACATTTTTCTAGGAAATTCATTAAATCTGATATTGCTCACGTACGGCCAGATGAAGGGCAATGCGACATAGATTCTCTTTAGCTAAAATATATCTAAGAGCAAGGTGGAAACTACAAGAGTAAAATGAACAAAAGCTCATAATAAAACTTAAAGGTCTGTGAGAAAAAGCTGACTACCTGAAGCCGATGAATATCCTCTAGCTGATTGCATCAAACTGGTATGCAGAAAAAATAAGCTTATAGTTAGAAATAAAAGAATCTACACAAGCAGGCAGCTAAGGCTAACACATATCCGCCACATAGAGTAGGAGAAGGAGACTGAACCATGAAAATCCTTTGCCAAATATGGGCCTTCCCATTGCACTATTTAGATTTGTTCTCGCAGTTGAAAAACTGGACACTGGCACCTACATAATGGAATCAAGAACATCAAGGCCACATAATACTCTTAAGGTATTTACTAACTAGTTAGCATGATCAATGAGAAGAGACACTGCTGCAACACAGATACAGAGAGCAGCAACAAACTTACAGTGCTGGTGCTACATTTGGATATCCTCTCCAGTGGGGAATAACCAAGACGGGTACTGAAAGTATCTGCACACCATAACAAAAAAAAAAGAAAAAACTGAAGCAACAAGCAAAGAGAGTCTCACAGATACTAACCATAGGACCATACAAAAGAGCAATTGGAAAAAGAAATCTACCTCAGGAGGATAAACTTACCTTCTCTATTCAGAGGAGCTCGATTAGTATTAGAGAAATTGCGGACTGTTGCAGCATGTTCCCGGCGCAGTAAAGTCGAAACATCCTTCAACTTTAAAAAAAAAAAAGAAAAAAAAAAAATGAGTGGCGGCGTTACAGATCTCAATCATCTCCAAGAAGCAAGCTAACCATTAAATCACAAACGATGGCAGGATGATCAATCTAGCTAAATTCAGCACATTGCTCGTGACTTGGAAAGTAAGAATCCCAGATATTATCACAAAAACAGCAGAACCACAATTTCATTTGAATCTCGAAATCAGAAACCCAAATTCAAATACCACGATCGGTGAAAAACATTAAAAAAAGCAAAATGATCGGAGAAAAGGAAATCGAGGAACAATAACCTTCTTGGAATGATTGATGATGCGTGACGCATAAGCCATTGGTATGTAATCGGAACTGCTTCAGCCGATCCGATTCTCGTTTCTCACCTCTCTCTCTCTATCTGTGTTTTGGTTCTAAGCTAAGGAAGGAAGAAGAAACTTTTTGTTTGCACTGTTAGGGTTTTTTTTTTTGTTTATTTAATTTCAATTTAATTTTTTGTTTTCTCACAGCTTTCTGATTAACCAAAAGACAGCGAGAGAGAATAATGTGATCCGAACGAACCAGTGACTGGTGAAACACTGAAACCTTTAGAGAGAGAGAAAGAGTGCGTTTGAATGGCTCTATCGTCGCAGCGTAATCTCGACCGTACGAGATTAAAGTTGACTTTGTTGATTATATAGGCCGGAACAAAATAAGCCCATTAAGAACTTAATATGGCCCATTCGGATTGCTATATATTTTACGATTTTGCAGTTGGAAACTAAAAAAGGAAATAGAAAAAAAGAAATTGAAAAAGCGGGAAATAGAGTTAGTTACATCTTCTTCTCCGACGAGACGAGACGACTGCGACTGGGTTTCTCTGAAGCTCAGGTATTATACACGAATGATCAGATTCTTCCTCTTAATTTCGCGATTACGTGGAGATATTGGCGAAGTTTGATTCAATCGAAAGCCAATTTTGAAGAAATCGAAACCGATCGATGTTAAAATCTCTGCTTCAATTGCTTGATCTTTAACCCCTAATATCTCTGTTTATTTCTTCTCCTTCAGCGACGATCCTTCTTCAGTGGCCATGTACTCCGACGATAGTTCATCCGATGCGAAACCTTCCACCGGGTTCGTGAACTTTTGTATCTCAATCGCATTGTTTGATTTTGGGGAAATCAAAGAGATCGATCGATGCTTAAAGATCTGATTTTAACTAATAATTTTGTTTCAGCAACGAAGTTTCTTCTTCAACGGCCAAGGAATCTGCTTCAGATCCTTCATCATCAGAAGCGAACATTCCCAATCCCAATGTGTTAGTGATATCTTTTTTGTTTGGATTCTTTAAAAGCAATCTTTTGAGATCGAGATCGATGTATAAAGCTCTCGTTCAACTAATAAATGTCAATTTCTTTTTCTCTCTCTCTTTTTTTCTCAGCGACGAAACTTCTTCTTCAGCCAGCTTGAAAGCTACTTCTTCAGCAGCCGCGGAATCTTCAGATCCTTCATCAGAACCAAACGTTCCCTATGCGTTAGTGATTTTTTCTTTCTTTCTTTTGGACAATTGATCTTTGGTTCGTTGTTTTGACAGTTTTTTTATCTCTTCTTTATCAGCCAACAGCTTCAAAGGCCCTCGATAAGTTCTGGAGGTAGCTCAGAAGACGACACTGGTCCCTCAGGGTTTGTGACCTTTTCTCGATTCTTTAACACCAATCTTTAATTCCTGGTTTATGTTTTTGACAGATTTATTTTGTTCCCATCTTTTACTTTTCTTTTTTTGGTTCTGTTTCAGGTTAACGAGTGATGAATTGATTTTTAAGGCTTTAGAAACAGTCTATGAAGATGGAACTGGTCTTGATGCAGATGCGATTTTCAAAATTGTCGAAGTTAGGAGAATCTCTGCAGTGTCTCCCTCTCTCTATAAGTATCTGTGTTTCATTGTCTTGACTCATGAGTGTATAGCTTGTCTGTGTGTGTGTTGGTTCTAAAGTGAGTCAATACCAATACCTGATTACAACAGAGAGATATACATTACGGAACATTAGGATCTGAAAACATGACTTCAAATACACGTAACACCAATGAAATGCCTTTAAAAAGAAGTCTTAGTTTTGCTGAGTCCTCCATTGTTTATTGATCACCAACCATCATGCTTCTCTTCTCGACGCTTCTCTGTTACATGTCACTCAGAGATGTTTGGATTCGATTCTCAGAGTTATTCTTGTGGTTAAATATAAATTGTAGGAAAATTTCGACGTATTGGATGATTTTAGGGAGCAGATGGAAGACCAGCTGGGAGATCTACTTGCTGAAGGCGAAATACAAAAGGTAACTAGTTTTTAAAACTTTATTTAACAAGAAATCCATACATTGGAGCTGCTTCATACTAATGCAAGATTCGAGCTATCTATATAGTTTTGTTTGATCGATTCAGTAAAATGAATAAGAAAAAAAACCCCTTGCCAAATGCAGATAGGAAACCGCTACAGGATCCGCCCTGGTTATTTTGATGCTCCAAAGCCAATACAAACCACGAGTGCAGGAGATTCGACGAGTGCGCCAACAGACACACCGAGTACTTCTTCTGCTTCGGTACCAAAAGCACCAGAAGGAAATCCTCAGATAGACGCAGCGTTAAAAGAAGTCGCAGAGGCAGAGCAGTTGGAGTTGAAAGCACGAGAGGCACAAGAACTTGCCGATAAACACGCCCACTTGCTAAAGTTTGAAAGCAACGTAATCCTGAACTTAGCCGAAGAGATCCGTAACCGATGTAATGTCCACCTCTTTAACCGACGATGTATTGTCAATCATCATCATCATCACTGAGCTTTTGCTTTGTTCCTTGACTTGTAGGTTTTAATGGTCAAAAGGTTTTCTTGCGGTAAAAGCTTCATCTTCTGGTCCGGCTCAATGTGGATGCATTCAATGAGCGGTTTCTTCTTAAATAGTTTCTGGCTTTTGAGTAAAAAAAGAGATTTCATTTGACACAAACAAATTCACTTTTTGTTACTTCGCTTTAGATTTTTGGTTGTAAAGGCAACAAACTAATCTCTCACTGTTTGTATTGTAATATGAGCTTTTACAGATTCACGAAACATAAGAATTGGAATTTATTTTTCTAAAACATAAGAACAGAAATGATAAATGTTTATAAAAGTAGTTTTAACGGTCGAGATTAGTGGGCCTCATTGTAGTAAGCCCACTGGGGGATTTATACAATGGAACGCTGCCCAGTCTCTCTCTCTTTACCTCAGTCTTTCAATTTTGTTCTAACAAAGTCTTTCACTTTTGTTCCCAAGCTTTCATCTCTCCCTCAACTCAAACTCCAGGTTCGAAAAACGGAAATATTTAACATTTATCTGCGATTGGTTCCTTATAGGTCGATTCCAGACTTCGGCTTTTTAATTTCACTACGTGGTCATATTGTGTTTGTTTGCTTTGCTTGTAGAAGCGTTTTTCTATCAAGGAATTAAGATTTCTTATTTAGGGTTTGGACTTCCGTGTTTGCAGATGGCGAGCAATATCATCATGTTTGAGGATATCTTCGTGGTTAATAAGCTCGACCCTGATGGCAAAAAGTTCGATAAAGGTATATACTTTCTTAACCTCGCCACTTAAATCGACGTTTGTTCCTAGCTGTTTTGGTAATGTGTTCTTTCGTTTATCCTTTTGTTTTGGTCTGAGTGAGTGGGTACCGTGGAAAAATCTGAACTTTAAAAGTCTTTTGTCTCCCTAAGTTTTGTGCTGTCTTCAAATTGAATAGCATTCTTTGAAACCTACAATGATTCTGTGTCGTGTGTGTTTGTTTGGTTACAGTTACTCGCGTTGAAGCTACGAGCCACAACTTGGAAATGTTTATGCATCTAGATGTTAACACAGAGGTTTATCCAATGGCTGTTGGTGATAAGTTCACACTTGCTATGGCTCCCACGCTGAATCTCGATGGAACCCCTGATACTGGATATTTTACTCCGGTAATAAAGTCTACTCCTTTTCATTTCTTTGATCTGTTTTATATACTCGCACTTGGCCAAATTTCATGAATGCTAACAGTGAACCCGTATTAGGATTTGGGTAGGATATAACTGCTAATGCTTAATGGTTGATATTATAACTCTTGTTGGCTAATTTGAGAAGCCTGTCTGTCTATCTAGGAATAAGAAAACATATCTAATTTTTACAAGCTTTACTTGAATCTTTAAAATCTAAATTTGGAAAACCAAGAATGTTGTTTACTCATCTGATCATTAATCTTATGTAGTTTTCATCTCTATATATCATAGGGGGCAAAGAAAACACTTGCTGATAAGTACGAATACATCATGCACGGGAAGCTTTACAAGATCTCTGAGCGTGACGGCAAAACTCCAAAAGCGTAAGACCCTTGCAATCAAAATAATTCAGTGTTTAAATCCAATTCCGATCTAACTCCTTCATGTTTTGGTTTCTTTCTCTAAATTATGTGTTTCCAGAGAGCTATATGTTTCATTTGGCGGCCTTTTGATGTTGCTTAAGGGAGATCCGGCTCACATTTCTCACTTTGAACTCGACCAGAGGCTCTTCCTACTCATGAGGAAGCTGTGAGATGCCATTGTCTGATCATGTCCTGGTACTTTCAGCATAGAAACCAGATTAACAGAGAGCTTGATGCCCTGATCTAATGTACTTTTGCTACTTCAACTTATGTTATCTCAATGAAGCAACTCTAGTGTAAAAGCAAGTTCCTCCGTACCGTTTTGACATTCTATTCCACAATTTGACTGCTCCGGTAAAATGTGTTTGTAGCTCTCAACTAAGTCTTAAGCTACGGAAGATTAACAGTTGAGACGGATAACATAAAGAGAAAACCCGACAAATACACAGTTTTGTTTCTTCTCTAACCAATTTCCACTTCCGTACAACAAATGAAAAGCCAATAAAATCAAATCTCTTAAAATTGCACTCTTAAGACTCCCTGATCGTATATTTTGAGACCAAGAGAGAGTATATTTTGAACGGTCGAGATTAGTCTCAAAATTCTAAGCTGATCAAGATTGTGGGCCTTATTTAAAGCCCAATATTAAATCTTATGATGAGGCCTTTTAAATGCTATATATTTCGAGTTGAAGAAATAAATAAAAAGTAGAAAAGCGGGAATACTGAATTAGGTGTCGCTTGTTCTCCGGTGACGCACGACGAAGAAGACGACGACTGAATCTGAAGGGGACGAGTGTGTGTTTGCTATATACGCATAGATTTAGAGGTACTTAGCGTTAATATCGGAAGAGAATTTGATCGAGAGAGAGAGAGAGAGATAAAGGGAGGCGACGAAGGGTTTAGAGATGCTAGGACATCGGAAAAATAAATGGACGCCGGAAGAAGAAGAGGCGCTTGTTGCCGGAATTGCCAAGTATGGTCCCGGAAAATGGTCGAATATCATAGAAGATCCCGAGTTCGCGCCTCAACTTCTAGAGCGCACTAACATCAACCTCAAGGTATTCGTAAATTCCCAAAAATCTTCCGTGGAAATCGATTTTGAGATTAGGGATCGTAAGTTTGGTCTTCAATGTTGGATTTTAATGTTATCTATGTCGCGTAATTCCAAGGATAAATGGCGTAACATGAAAACTCGTGTGGGGAGTATGGAGAAATCAAGGACACAGACAATCAAATCTGTTTCCGTTTCCTTTACCCCTGCAAAGACTTCTCCTAGCAACAAGTCTTCTCCAAGTAGTTTATCAGATATGAGCAATGCTACTAGGTTTGTTACATTTGGGGATTCTTAGAAACTGGAATTTGTTCTTTGATTTCTGCTGACACTTCTCCTTTACCTTGTTGCAAGCTACTGTCCAATCATTTTTGAGGCCATATCAACAATTAATGATGAAAGTGGTTCTGATCTTAAGGAGATTCTCAGTTTTATCGAGGTGAAGAGGATATATACATTGAAGTCTTTGTTTTCATGGTTTATATTTTACATTCATTACTAAGTTTGTCTCAATTTCTTTGTTGAGGTATTTCCTTAGGTTTCATTAGACTCGTTTTTCTGGATACAAAAGCTAAGGTTTCACCTGAAGTGAGTTAGTAGATTGTGTATATTGGTCTGAAGTGAATCAGCAATGGGTCACAACGGATAGACCATACAGGAGTTTTATGATCGTTATCTGACACAACTAGTTGGTCACTTCTAAGATTGTAGATATATGTAGTGAGTAGTCTACCATAACCATGATGACTGAAAACATTTTGATACCACTATAATAGCATTTCCATGATGATTGCAAACATTCTGTTGGAACATCTTTGTTGCTTTCAGTTACTGCAACTTTACTTTAAAATATGGTCAAGAAATGAACACCCAGGAACAATTGTAAGTGTGGTTTTGTTTGTCGTCCTTGTAACTTTAGACTCCAAGCATGAATCCTTTGCCTTCAAAAGTGCTACTGCATTACGTTCTATTCCCTAGATTTCTCTATCGTATCCTGGTTGAAGCTTTGAAAATAATCTTTTGCATATCTGATATCTCTCATATTTACGATCAACCAAAACATCAAGAATATTATTCACATTAAATCCCCAGTTGTAAGTTAATAGTGAGGTTGATCTATTGCAGGAACGACAGGAGGTTCCAAAAAACTTCAAGAAATTGTTGAGTAACAGCCTAAGACTCCTTGTTTCTCAAGACAAACTCAAAAAGGTAACTAGTCTTGTTTTGCTTGATGCGTGGTTTGTCACAAGCCTATCTACTTTTCTCCAGACCCTCATATCTATTTGACAAAAAAAAAAACTTTACAAATACAGGTACGAAATCATTACAAAATCTCCATTACGAAAGCAACAAAACCAGCACACATCCTGCATCCAAAAGATTCTACGAACCCACCAGAGCTACCAAGTACTTCTGTGATGTCAACAAAAACAAAAGAAACCCATGATATAGATGCAGCAGCAAATAAAGTGGCAGAAGGATTTGACGTAATCTTAGTTCTATGTACTTTGTGTTGCTCATCCAATGTACTGTATCATAGTATCTAAAGATATGATCTCAGTTGAAAGTTATTCTCTGCGGTTGATCAACTTCAGGTTGGATACGAGGAGCGACAAGACTTTAGGAAGTTTTTGAGTGAATGCCTGAAAATTCTCGTTTCTCAAGGCAAACTGGAAAAGGTTTTTTCTTCTTTCTCTTAACTGCGCAGTTGTCATAACAAGATCGATGACACATGTGCTTCGTAGTAAATGTCAAGTTTGAGTTATTATTATTTGATAAAAAATCAGAAGAACTTGCATAATGCAGGTATTAGATCGCTACAAGATGTCAGAATTAGAAAAAAAAGTGTTGGAAGCAGCACCAGAAGTAGTAGCAATGAAACTAGCAGAGTCAGATAACAAAAGGTTGATAGCAGCAGAGGCAGTCGAAGAAGAACAAAGGATGCACAAGTTTGTAGAAGAAAGCCACACGATGCTTCAGTTATCCATAGAAATCCACAAACAATGTAATCTTAAGAAACCTACATGACACATCAATCAATCATCATAAATTAATTCATCAATGTATTTCGCTTTGTTTCTTGCAGGTGCTCTTGGGGAAGAGGTTGTTCTACGGTGAAGAGCCTTCTCTAGCAGACTCCATCGTAAACCAAGTATATATTCCGGTTGAAATATAGATAAGTGATTCATTTGACTTCTAACCAGTTAAGTGTGTCTTTTGTAGATGGTTGTAGTGGGGAACTAATAATGTCCACTGTTTTTGTTCATAAAAAAGGAAGTGTGTTAGCCTTTAACAATTTAAAAGTGATGTGTCTATGTGTCTTCTTGAGAATGCTATGCTACGTCATGAAAGCATCAAAAGGTGCTGGAAAGTATAAAGCTTTACAAATGAGAAAAAGGCTAATTGGTATCTATATATATAAAGTTAACTTTTTCTCTCTTCTCCTTAAACCACATCATCATTCACCTCATTTTATTATTTATTTTTTAAAATTAATAATACCATTTTATCATTTAATTTTAATATTTAAAAATGAATATGAAAGTCTTTTTTTATATTATACATTATAAAACTAAAAAAGATAATTGATTAAAAGTTAAAAAACTTACTAATTATCGATTATACTAACAAATATATAAATAATAGATTATAGTTTTTAGTGAATTTTTAAAATATATATATATATATGATTATATTTACACAATGTAAACCTAGATATAATAGGATTTAATGGGAATAGAACAAAAAGTAAAAAATTTTGAGAATATAAATCTATCTAACTTATGTCTCAAAAATTTTTCTAACATAAATAAGATTGGTCGGACCGAAACATGAATTCTCATTTTTTATAAACATATAAAAAGGTAAAAATAAAAATAATATTTCTTTAAAAGTTTCCAATATGAATTTAACTATTTGTTTCCAATACAACACATATGTTAAACTAATAAACAAAATAAAAAATTAACTATATTTCATAAAATTGACAATTAAAATAAAAACATTATTAAATGAAATAAACTAAATATAAAGTAAATTATACTAATATGTTAAATTTAAAAATTATTCCATATGAAAAAACAAAAAAAAATTATATAAAACATAAAATCAGAAAATATATATAATAGTATATAAATGATCATTACGAGATATAAAGTACGACAAATCCAAAAAAAAAAAACGTAAAACAAAAAATAATAAATTATGACAATATATAAAGAGATAATGTAAACAATTAAAAATACAACAGTCCGCCCGAAACCCATAAATCATGTTCAAATTTCATGTCAACATATAAAAGGGCCCAAAATATTAACATATAGATCTATATTTGGTAAAAACCCTAATAGCACACGTTTCTCAATGACTATCAACCGCATTTCTATTTACGCCCACACTTCGACTTATACTATACACACTTAATTTCTCAACGACTAATGAAGCTAAAACTCAATAATTTTTCTATACAAACACGATTTAAGTTTTAAAAAAGTAAAGTATGGTATAGTGAAAAACATAAGTACGAAATAAAATACGAACCAATTATTCATAAACAACATAATAAACTCCCGCGCGTAGCGCGGGCAACCGACTAGTGGTGTATAAAACAAGCCAACTAAAATTTCCACTGTGATTTGATATTTTTGCTTTGATGTGTTTAGTATGCAATGCAATTTGCTGCGATTCATAGTCATAATCTCCTTTTTGACATTGGTGTATCAGAATAATTCTTTCGATTGTTGATAATAACAAAAATTATTTCCGCACGAGAAATTTAGGAACATGCCCAAATCGAAAAAGGAAAAAGGAAAAAGGAAAGTAGGGGCAAAATTGGAAATAGGGAAAAGGAACAATTCTAATTGTGAAGAGGAAAACCCTAAGGCCACAGAAATAAAAAAGGGGGACTATAAAAAGTGGTGAACACGTAGATTATTCCAGTCTCTCTCTACCTCAATTTTTATTTTGCCTACTTCTCTCTGTCTCTCTATCTGTTATCTCTCTACCCAGCCAGATCCGAGTTCGTGAGATTTCAAGCTCTCTAACAAAGTCCTTCACTTTTGCTCTCAAAGCTTTCACCTTTTCTCTTCAACTACTTCAGCTCCAGGTTCGTATATATATCTGTTTTTCTTTTCTTCTTCTTTTCGATTTTTTTCTCTTTTAGATGAACAATTAGATCTCGAGTCTGATTTAGTCGCTTGGCGATTGATGTGTTTCGGATTCCGTCTTGGTCGATTTCAAAGTTTTACAATTTCTTGCTTGTAAATCTGTAACTAGTTGCTGAAACCCTTGGTTTCACTCGATTTGATTTGGGGCAGATGGGTTAACTTAGTTTTTTCGACACATATATATGCTCTTCTGGAGAGATAGATATTTTGAATGGTATCTATGATATTGGATGAACCATATGCCTATTTCTCTCCTGACATCTAATAATTCAGATATTAATGCTTGTCTTCCTCTCTTTATGGAACTTCAAGTTTGGCTATTCTGTTACATTCTTACTTTTGCAGAACTCCTCTCGCCTGATTTATGAATAATGGCTTGTCCGATATATCTTTTGCTATATTGAGGTCTAAAAGGTTGTCTCTTTTGTGTATTGTTTGTAGTATGGCAGGATCAGCACCAGAAGGTACGCAATTTGATACGCGTCAGTTTGACCAGAAGCTGAATGAAGTGTAAGTTCTTAACATCTATTTATAATTATTAATACTCCTTGTGATATAATTTTTCTTATTTGCTAATTGTAATTTTCTTTGGGTGCAGACTCGAAGGACAGGATGAGTTCTTCACCTCATATGATGAGGTCCATGAGAGCTTTGATGCTATGGGTCTTCAAGAAAATCTTCTTAGGGGTATCTATGCTTACGGTAAGTTGAGAAGAATTATATAAACTACCTTTTTGTGTTTTTATGCTGGGGATTCCTATAAATTTCCATCTCATGTGTGCTCTCCCAGAATTTTGATTGGTTGCTTTATTTATAGGTTTCGAAAAGCCTTCTGCTATTCAGCAAAGAGGAATTGTACCCTTTTGTAAGGGTCTTGATGTGATCCAGCAGGCACAGTCTGGTACTGGGAAGACTGCCACTTTCTGCTCTGGTGTCTTGCAGCAGCTTGACTATACTCTTGTCCAGTGCCAGGCTCTCGTTTTGGCTCCCACCAGAGAGCTTGCTCAGCAGATTGAGAAGGTCATGCGTGCCCTCGGTGACTACCTTGGCGTCAAGGTTCATGCCTGTGTTGGTGGAACCAGCGTCCGTGAGGATCAGCGCATTCTCCAAGCTGGTGTTCATGTTGTCGTTGGAACTCCTGGTCGTGTGTTTGACATGCTTCGAAGACAATCTCTTCGCGCTGACAACATTAAGATGTTTGTCCTTGATGAAGCTGATGAGATGCTCTCCCGAGGTTTCAAGGATCAGGTTTGGCTTTACTTTACCAAGTTTGATTATATCCCTAGTATGGTTGTTTATTAAACTGTGAAAATGACTTGGGTTGTATCTTCTTTTCTGGTGAATTTGCAGATCTATGACATATTCCAGCTTCTCCCACCTAAGATTCAGGTTGGAGTATTCTCAGCAACAATGCCACCAGAAGCTCTTGAGATCACAAGAAAATTCATGAGCAAACCAGTGAGAATCTTGGTAAAACGTGATGAGCTCACACTTGAAGGTATCAAGCAATTCTATGTGAATGTGGAGAAAGAAGAGTGGAAGTTAGAGACTCTTTGCGATCTGTATGAGACTCTAGCCATCACTCAGAGTGTCATCTTTGTCAACACCCGTCGCAAGGTGGACTGGCTCACAGACAAAATGAGAAGCCGTGACCACACAGTGTCAGCCACTCATGGAGACATGGACCAAAACACAAGAGACATCATCATGAGAGAATTCAGGTCTGGTTCTTCTCGTGTTCTCATCACGACCGATCTCTTGGCTCGTGGTATTGATGTGCAGCAAGTCTCCCTGGTCATAAATTTTGACCTCCCAACTCAGCCTGAGAATTACCTTCACCGTATCGGAAGAAGTGGAAGGTTCGGGAGAAAGGGTGTGGCGATTAACTTTGTGACGCGTGATGATGAAAGAATGCTGTTTGATATTCAGAAATTCTACAATGTGGTCGTTGAGGAGCTCCCATCAAACGTTGCCGATTTGCTGTGAAGAAGAAGAAGAAAAGAAAGGTTACTTGTTTCCCAAGTTTCTTATTTGATTTTTGACCCGTTTCCCTTGCTCTCTTTCTCTCTCTCTCTCTGAAAGTCTGAATCAGCCACACATCTTTTATTTTTCTTCTTAGTATTCATCAACTCTGTCGAACATATATGTCTCTCCTGACCATTTTTCTTTTAAATCACATGCAATATTTATTTTTTCGATTGTATGATTCACAAGTCCCTCGTAATTACACAAGTCTATGTTATATAGATTCTCTTCCATGTTCTTTGCGGTTTTGTCACTGAAATACACTTCATTTGATAGTCCGGCTAGAGAAGTATTGAGTTTTAGTTCAATCTTTGGAGTTCACTTTCGTTGAGAATCCTTTCGGTAAAGAGACGTCAAACTATTTGCCAAACTTGATTAATCAGTAATCTCATCTCTCTTTTTCTTCTTTTCATTAGTACAAACAGACACAATACAACATCCCCTCTTTCTTCTAAACTTTTGTCTAATTGTATAAACCATTTGATTAGTAAGGAAATAAAATTAAAAGTCTCTTTCTTACATCTAACATGAATCCAATTTTCTCATTCTCCAACTGACGATTCCCGAGAAAAATTATCACAGAAAAGTATTTAGTGGTTAACAAAACTTACTTGGTCTCCATCATCAAGTCTATTGTGTATCATTGGACGATGTTCCACTCATAACACTTAAAACTGAATGCTTCCTTTGAAGCTTTCCTCTTAGCTGCCTGATCTTAGCATCAACTCGAGCCGTGAACCCAATCTTTGTCTTCTCTCTCGCCTTCGACTTCTCTCGTTTCCACATTCGTTCATCCTCTACATCAATCCTGAAATGCTTGATCTCTTGTATAATGTGATGGTCAAGAGGGTTCACTGATCTTTGGTATGAAATGTGGAACAAGTAAGGTAGCGTTGTGGCGGCTATGACCAGTAGAGAAGTTAGCCAGAAGATGGGTGCAGGCGCTAGAGTCTCGGCCAGCATGTGAAAGATGTTACCGGAGAGTTTTGGTGGTAACATACCGTAAAGAGCTAGGAAGACGTACCAAGCTCCTATGCTTCCCCAAATCATTACATGTTGGATCCAAGTGAAGTGGCTCATGGTTAGAGCTATTTGAACATTTACTGCCCAGATGATGCATGTGAACATGGCGGTTCCCATGGCATTCATGTCTGCGGTTTGGCCATCTGAGCGGAATGATTGGACATGGAAGATTCCAAGGTTCAGTGTAAAGATGACTATGGATGCGTAAACTCCATTGCCCATCCATCCAAGGATTCTATACCAGTCAAAGAATAGGTTCTTGGGGCCTTGTTGATACAATGCAGGGAACTAGAAAAAAACAAGGAAATGATTCAAGATTCGAGAAGAAGGTTTGTTTTATGTATGAGAAAGATGATGCAGAGGACTTCATATAACCTGTAGGCAGACATCAGAAGGAACATCTTGTTCAAAGACTCCGAGGGAAATGACTGGGAGAGAAGTGAGAACAACGTTGAAGAGTAATAAGTAGGAGTCATTGTATATTGATTGACCAGAAAACCCCGTAAAGGCTTCGAAGTAGAAGAGAGTTAGACCAAAGGTTATGTTCTTGTAAAAGAAATAACAAATCTGTGAAAGAAAAAAATTACGAATCAAGGTATAGATATATATAGTATGCTGCCTGGTGAGTTAGATCAATGCATATATTACCATCTGAGCTATTCGTTTGTAGCACCAGTGTCCGTGGACAACTAGTAGTCTCTCAAGAAACCGAAACTGTGCTATGGAGAAGTCACTTGCCATTACAGCCTGCAAAGAAACAGAAACAACAACTCTTAGAAAAAACCAGCAAAATTTAACCATATCTGATTGTGCTGAAGTAAACACCTGCATGCCTTCAACTCCACTGATTCCAACACCAATATCAGCTTCTTGAATCATTCCAACATCATTTGCCCCATCTCCGATCGCCAAAGTTGTTTTTCCTGTTCCTTCTTTGGCTAGCCTTGTCACCTAGAAAACCAAGATAAACAGATTTGGTGATGTGCCAGTCCATGTGTTGTTATGAAATCAATAAAGATGATTTAGAATTTAATGAGTTATTCTTACAAGTGCTTTCTGTTTGGGAGAGACACGACAGCATATCACTGATGCACAGTCAACTGCAAGGGCAAGAAACTGATACTTGACATCATCCTTCAAAGCATATGTAAGTGTCTTTCCATCAATGATCAAAGCAAATGCTGCATGTGGATCCTTTTCAATTTTGATCATTTGTGAAGCATTTGTGATCTGCATCACTATGCTCTCCTTTGCAGCCTGACCATTTACAAGTTTTTGTATCACATTCAAGATTCTACTGAAACAGTAAATATAAGTTTTTCATTATATCATAGTCCTAATACATACAGCTTCAGAGTTATCTGATGATTCCTCTACATTTGCAAGTGAAATAGATATCTGCTTCATACCCTGTCGAAGTAAACTGCAGGCATATCTGCATTAGGCCAACCAAAGAACTCAATTAGTCCACTTACACTTGAGAATATTTTTTCATCAGAAAATTACATATAAAAGAGAGTTTAGGAGTCTGTGGTATCAGTAACAAAGAAGAACAAACCCAATGTTTATTGCTGTCTCCATCTTATCTCCTGTCAAAACCCATATCTTGAGACCAGCTTGGGCTAGGTTATCTATGCATTGAGGCACCTGAAGTGAACTACAAACAGTAAGTTGAAAAGGATTTTCGAAAGGCTGCTTTCTTTGAATATAATCACAGTTGAGCTATGCTTCATACCCCTTTTTGCAGTTTGTCCTCCACAGCAGTAGCTCCAACAAGGATCAACTCTTTCTCCATCATATCTGATACCTTCTCAAGCATTTCATCTCTATCAGCTCCAACTGAAGTTTTGGCTTTGTGAAACTCACTGTTCCATGCTGAATACTCAGTCTCATCCAGCTTTCTGTAACCAAGTGCCAATGTGCGTAAACCCGCTTCACCATATTCATTCAAGTGCTTGGTAGTAGCTCCTAGATACTCTTTTCCATTCTTTGATAAACGGTCAAATATGATGCTGCAAAAAAAAAAAGCATTAAATTTTGGTTAGCAGAGTAGAGAGAAGAACCTAGGACTGAATTAAAGATATGCAATCAAACCTGTCAGCGCCTTTACAGAGTAGAAAAATCCGCCCTTCCTCATCTCTCACAATGGCAGACATTCTTTTTCTTTTGCTAGTGAAGTCTAATAGATTTAATATTTTGTATTCTCTGTAAAAGAACCACCACATGATTACACATCTATATGCAGAGATCAATGGAAAAATATTGAAAGATTAAGCAACTACAGTCTCACCTATCAACTGGCTGGCCTGAAGAAGATGAAAACCGCTCAGCGATAAACACACTTGTTTGAGTTCTCTTTGTAAACTCAAAACCAAACTCCCTAGAAGCAACAAGGAAAGCAACTTCATCAGGAGACTCAGCTTCATAAGTACACTTCCCAGTATCTTCATCCACTTCAGGGATTGCAGTATGACAAACTGCGAGTATTCGGAAAAACATCAAAATGTCATCTGAGTTAGGCTCATTTAACCAGTTCTCATCCATTAGACGGCTATCTTCAAAACTAAAGCCCTTTACACCAGTGGTCTGCTTCCGATCCTTATCGTCGCTAGCAGTGACTACAGTCTCCAATTCAAAATCTGTTGACGCCTTGCTGGCCAGTTTTGTGTAGCGTTGTGTCCTGCCTTTATTCACTGGAAGGTTTGTAACTTCTTCACCTTTCTCCTCAAGATCCATCGCCATCTGCTTAGCAGCAGCTAGTTCTACTTCACTGGCACGGACACCATAAGAAGTACCGGCAATTGAGCATTTCAGAAAGTCCATCTGATTACATGTCAAAGTTCCTGTTTTATCAGAAAGGATGGTGTCAACTTGTCCCAGCTCTTCGTTTAAATTCGAGGTGCGTGCTTGAGCTGGAGTCCCACTCTCACTATCATACAACTCCAAGTCTTGGTTTATGAAATGTGCTTGCAAGACTTTAACTACTTCGATGGAAACATACAATGAGATGGGAATCAAGTAGCCATAAAGCAAGAGAGCAGTGATCAAATGAACAACCCAAGCATACAGAGGATTTGTAGGATTTGTTAAGCTCTCAGGCTTGTCTGGCCGCAAGTACCACCACTCTGCCATTAATAGTTTTGTCATCACTGCAAATCCAAGAGAGCTGATGAAAGAAACAGTCAAGAGAAGGGCAAAGAGAGTGTATATAATGTAATCCATTCTCTTTTCAATCCTGCTTCTCTTTGAAGGAGACTTGGTTGAGTTCTGCATTACTTTTGTGTCATGGCCAGTAAATATCACCACACCATAGACATAAGCCGTGTTCCTGAGCTTTGAGTCTCTCAAAAGAATCTGGTTAGGATCAAGTGGATAGACCTGTCCATCACACTCAAGATTACCAACAAAGGTATACAGGTTGGGATTTGGATCCTCGCATTTGATGGTTCCAGAGAAATTCTGAAACGATTCATCCTTTTCCAAAGCCAAAGTAGCATCCAAACATCTCTTCACTTTCAAGTTAGTTTCGCCGTCCAAGTTCATAGTCTCCACGTAACAGATCCCATCCTCATAACTAGATGACAGCAAGAGCAAGTCAGCAGGGAAGAAATCATCCTTGTCGACCCTTACAACATCCCCAACACGGATCTTTTTCCAAGCCCTGCGACCAAAATCCCCACTCCCTTTGTGAACACAAGATTTCCTAGAGTTAACCTCAACGTCCTGCATGAAGCGGCGCCAATCCTCCAAGGCCTCTTTACCCATACTAAGCCCGACAACGAAAACCAAAGGAGCAATCATGCTCCATTTGTTGAAAGGGGAGAGGGGAAACACAGAGAGGATGGCAGCAACGAGGAAGTAGAAGTTGGCAACGCGGTGGAATTGCTCGTACAAGCATTTAGGCAAGAAAGTGAGCAAGTTATACCTAGTGGTGGATACATAGTTGGAACGGTACCTAAGGAGTTTAGTAGCCAAATGCAAATGAGGCTGGTTACAATGAACGATCCTTGTGTAACCAGGTCCGTTGATAACATGAGGGCCTTGATCATCAAGCGTTTTAGGTCTAAGACATCTAAAGGTATAGAAATGGCTTTTACGAATCCTTGATCTAATCCTACGACGAGCCATATTGTCCTTCGCACCTCTCAATTTCGTAATAAGACAAACACACCACCGTTAACTGTCGTCCTTGATACTGCCAGAAAACGTATTAATTAGCTACACATCTCAAACAAATATGATCTAGCTAGATTCTATTTAATGGGAGTTAAAAATTTAGGTTATGGAATCCGAGATCGGTGCATCTAATGCCCATAACTTGCAACGCAAGACAAGGAGAATCCCTTGAAGATCACGTCATTGATCGCGAGAGAAAGAGAGAGGTTACCTGAAATCAGGAGGGTCGTTCATGATCAACACGAAGAAACACGTTTTGTGTTTTGTTGAAACAAAAATTAACGATTCCTTAGGAACAACGAATGAAACAAAAAAAAACAAAAGCTAAACGAGAGAGATCAGAAAGAGAGATCCAAAAACACAGAGAAGAGAGAAAGAAAACAAAAATGGAGGGAGAAGAGAAAGAGAGGAACCTTTGGTTTGGTTGTGTCTAAAGAAAGAAGGAAGAGAAGAGAAGAGAGAAGTTGGTAAAGCTAATCATCATCTCTCCTTCTCTCCTTCACTCTCTCCCTCTCTCACTGCTACTCTAATCCTACGCACCTCTTTCCGTTTATCTCTCTCTCTCTCTTTCTGCTTTTTCCTATTTTTAATTTTCTCTTTTCTGATTTTTTCTTCTTTATACATTTAATTTTACATCTTATTAATTACTTCTGTCCAAAAGATTGATTACCAAGCTTAATTAAAATTTTTATTTATTTATTTCTGATTGACTCAAAATAGTGAAAAATAATAAAAATTACTCACATTATTTTAGATTTGGTTTTACATTATTTACATCTAAATGGTACATGATATATATTCACTAATTAACATAATTGAGATTCATTGTTTTAATTAATGCTAAAAGAAAAAATCATTGTTCTTTAGACAAAACAAAATCAACTCAAATTATGTAGGGATAACTAATTATTTTCAAGTGATTATATACTATTTTCTTTTAAAATTTGTATATGACTACCAACCACGTACGTGAACAAGTATTTCTTGCGCTGATTAACCAACCACACGAGCAGATGGTTTATGTATCAGACCGTAAACCTCAACTCAGGAGTCAGGACTCAGATCATCTCAATTCACAATGCAAAATTTATTGACAATCTCACACTAGATATGCAAACGAAAAGTTTCACGTTGATACATTTTATATTCTTCGCTCATATCATAAGCAAACTGTTTTTCTGATACAATATAGTATTTATACAAACATTAATAATAATAGTACAGTTTAAGTGATGTTTTATACTTCCTTTGGGACTGCCTGATTCCGTAAAATACAAGTTGACCAACGAGTATCTCTCTAGGATTCCCTCAAAAACCATGGATTTTTATGTTATCCTTCTTCACAAGCCCAGCCTGATTCAACAACATCCGTTAGTTCAGAATGCAGAGCACAAACAAGGTTTCGCTATATACCAACTTTGAAACCACTAACCATAGAACGAAACAATTATAATGGTTACCTGAACAAGGAAGGTAGAGACGTTCTTCCTCTGATCGCCTTGTAGCTGAATAACCTACAACAACATTTTTCACAGATGTTAAGTCATTTAGCTAATAACAAAAGCGATCCAAAATGTTTCTCTTTTAGTTCTTGAGAGCTATGGTAGGCTTCTTTTTCTTTATTAGAAACCTCAAGCCTTGACACTGTAGAAGATGTAAAAGGAAAAAGAGGGGAACACAACTGACCTGTCCTAATTCAGAGTCCTGGACAACAGTGCCATTGCAGCAGAATTCTTTCTTAAGGTCTTTAAGTATCTTGCTGTAGCTATACTCTTTCTTGAGTCCCTGAACAGTTGTCAAGCTTTTTCTACCATTACGCTGCTGAACACGGATGTGCACGTATTCCTTTGTTCCCGCCCCAGCGTCCTCAGCATTTGCATCAGCAAACGGATCTTTATATCACCCAAACCACCATATTGTCCGTTAGCATAAGAGAAGATTTCATATCATATTAACATAAGAAGATAACTCCATTAAAAAGAACAAGAATGCTGCAACTCTGGAAAACCACTGTGGAACCATCCATCTGATAAATCATCATATCCTCAACAATTCCAACCCCAAAGGCTATAAATTTGAGATGAATGCTTACCAAAGGCAGTGGGGACTTGAACTTCAAGATCAGACATGAACCTTAAGTTGATACAAGGGAGCGCAAACCGACAAAGCCTGGCGATCAGAAGAATGATTACAAGTTACATAACGTAAAAGTGACAATGGTGATTGTTGTAATATCGGATTAAAGATAATCAAACGTGCTTCATAGCATCAGATAGATTCTTATAAGAAAATACCCAAAAAAAAACATTTATTGCAAAGTCTCAATTGCGTATACACACGACAGGATTCCAAAATCAAAACAATAATGTAATCCCTGTATCTAAAACCGATTTCAGTTTCTACGGAATAAACTATAGTTCTGGAATCAAGCGCGATCATTTTGCCAAGAAACAAAAAACCAAAGTATGCATATTTTTATGAAACAAAAAAAAAAAGATTCTCACCAAAAATCTCTATTAGAAAAAAAACTTGAAGCACGGGAAACAGAGAACAATCATTCAGCAAAGTATTAGGGGAAGGGGGACACGCATAAAAGAGAGAAACTTCACCTGATCAAGAGATTAGGGTTTCGATGATTTGATTATTGGAAGAAGTAAAATAAATTGGAAACCCTAAATTCGGACAAAGGCACAAGCTTCTTGTCTGAAAGAAATGAAGAAGACGAAGAAGAGCAAAATTACGAGAGGAAGAGCTACAAAATCGATTCTGTTTTTAATTTCTCACCAATATTCTTACCTTTTTTTCTAATTATTCTAAAAAGGCAAATTAAAAAAGTCAGGCGAGTCCGGCACGGCATCGATTCCCTCCCACTCATCATAGTTGCGTCTTTATCTCAACTTTTATTATTAGGCCTTTATAAAGCCCAAGTTTGTTTTCTTAGTAACAAAGCCCAAGTAGTTTAAGACATCATTTACTAGCTCTGGAATCGCCGACGCAGAGGTAGATTCTATGGCCACGGAGGAAAACCTAACCTTAACTGTACCCAGATCATCCAACCAGCGATGTGAAGGAGACTACTTTTCTCAGATCCCTGTTGATCTGGTCATCAAAATCTTGTCGAAATTATATTCCGGCAAGTCTATGGCTCAGTGTCGTTGTGTGTACAAGCTCTGGAGTCTGGTCGTCCATAATTCGCCGACAATATTACAACCAGTTGTTCCCTTTCGAGTCTCCTGATCCACCGAGACTCCTTTTCACGTTCGTATCTGGAGAAAATCTCTACTTCTACTCGGCCCCTCAGCCTCCTCAAACAGTACTTGACAACAACTCTTACGTAACAGCCACACTTCATAACACATATTCCCGTCGTCGCACAGTCGTCTCTCATACCTGTCGCCCTGTACGTGGACTGGTTTGTCACCAACGTGAGGAAGAGAATCATATAGTGGTCGTGGTTTCTAACCCCATCACAGGAGAGTCTGTGACCTCACCCAGACTGAAAACGGATGGGATCGAGGCAAAAACCTATTTTGGGTATGATCCGACTGGGAACAAATTCAAGGTATTGTGCTTAACTTGGTCGCGTCGTGGAACATTCCAGCATCAAGTTCTCACACTAGAGAAGGGAAGAAAACTCTTATGGAGATAGATCCCATGTTGCATATCTTATTCTCCTCTAAACGATGGGGTATGCATCAATGGTGTTTTGTATTACGCAGGAAATTATATGATCGTCTGCTTTAATGTTAGGTCTGAGAAATTCGATTTTATAAACGAGACACCTGAGAAATTACGTTTTATGTGGAGAACTCTTACTCTGATAAGCTACAAGGGTAAACTAGGTCTACTTGCTGATACTCGGCGAGATGATGATGATAGGTTCGTGTTTTGGCTCGATGATGATAGGTTCGTGTTTTGGGTTTTAGAGGATGCCGAGGAACATAAATGGTCAAAGCATACTTTGGTCACTCCATTTCAACTGAGTGTATTGGCTGTTGGAGTGACTGATAGAGGTGAGATTGTTTTGTCACCAAAATATGCTGAAGGAGGTCCTTTCTACATTTCTTACTACAATCTCGAGAGCAACACTGTGGTAAGAGTAAGACTTGTCATTCCAGGATTGGAACTTCTTAAAGGGCGTTGTAGAGTTTACACCTTCCCAAACTATGTAGAGGATGTGAAGCTTATCATGTAATAAAGTGTTTTATTCCTTTTTCGATTTCCATACTATGTAACGATTTCCAAATGTTTCTGAGACACAAAGTCAGTGTGTTTTTTTTTTCACTTGGTTTTACATGTTTTGACGAAGCAATAGAGAATGGTTTAATTAGTTTTATGCATTGATGTTGGTTCTCTCTATCTCTTTGTATGGCAACTATAGTACTTACTCTACGGAGCTTTTGAGATGTCATCTTTAGGTTGATATATAGCTCTATCAAAGAAGGTTAAACAGGAAGACTGTTGTGTCATGTAATGATTAAAGCCTCAAAATCTTAGTTTTAGTTGCTGTTGTTCACTTGCTACCTATAAAGAACCCATCATATACCAAGTTGCTCACTCGTGTATAATGTATATTTTCCCTTTTTTAGCTGTTAGGATGATTTTGAGAAGCAGCGTTCTCGTTTTCCTTTTTTGTTTTTGTTTACATATCTGAATAGTAATTTTCCAATTTATAATAAGAATAGATTTACCTTTTCCTTTTAATAATCAGAGTCGGTAAGCATCGATCTACATCTATATAAGGGGACCTTTCCCCATCATTGTAGTTCACATCTTCTTTCTCTCGCAAAACCATAAACTTGCTGCAAAAGTTTCCTCAATTCTCTTCCTCTCTTATTGAAGATGTCTATGCAAATCTACGCTAGGACTCTTACAGACAAGACCATAACCCTTGACGTTGAAAGCTCCGACACCATCAATAACGTCAAGGCAAAGATACAGGACAAAGAAGGGATTCCGCTAGACCAGCAAAGACTCATCTTTTCCGGTAAATTGCTAGAGGATGGCCGTACTTTGGCTGATTACAGTATCCAAAAACATTCAACCCTCCACTTGACTCTCAGGTTGAGAGGTGGTATGCAGATATTCGTCAAGACCCTTACCGGTAAAACCATTACCCTAGAAGTCGAGAGTTCAGACACCATTGACAATGTTAAAGCTAAGATTCAAGACAAGGAAGGGATCCAACCAGACCAACAGAGACTCATATTTGCAGGCAAGCAGCTCGAAGATGGTCGAACGCTTTCAGATTACAACATCCAGAAAGAATCAACCCTTCACCTTGTACTTCGACTGAGAGGTGGGATGCAGATCTTCGTCAAGACCCTTACCGGCAAAACCATAACTTTGGAAGTTGAGAGCTCTGACACGATCGATAACGTGAAGGCAAAGATCCAAGACAAGGAAGGGATATCACCAGACCAACAGAGACTCATCTTTGCAGGCAAACAGCTCGAAGATGGCCGCACTCTTGCAGATTACAACATCCAGAAAGAGTCAACCCTCCATCTTGTGCTGAGACTCCGTGGTGGGATGCAGATTTTTGTAAAGACCCTTACTGGAAAGACTATAACTTTGGAAGTTGAGAGCTCTGACACAATTGATAACGTGAAGGCCAAGATCCAAGACAAGGAAGGGATTGCACCAGACCAACAAAGACTCATTTTTGCTGGAAAACAGCTTGAGGATGGTCGCACTCTTGCTGATTACAACATCCAGAAAGAGTCAACTCTTCATCTCGTGCTGAGACTACGTGGTGGGATGCAGATTTTTGTAAAGACCCTTACCGGAAAGACAATAACTTTGGAAGTTGAGAGCTCGGACACAATTGACAATGTAAAGGCAAAGATCCAAGACAAGGAAGGGATCGCACCAGACCAACAAAGACTCATCTTCGCTGGTAAACAGCTTGAGGATGGTCGCACTCTTGCAGATTACAACATCCAAAAGGAGTCAACCCTTCACCTTGTGCTGCGTCTTCGTGGTGGGATGCAGATATTTGTTAAGGATTTGACGGGAAGCACCATCACGCTTGAGGTGGAAAGCTTTGATACGATTGACAATGTGAAGGCACAGATTCAGGACAAAGAAGGGATCCACCCGGACCAACAGAGGCTTAACTTTGCAGGGAAGCAGCTCGAAGATGGTCACACTTTAGCGGATTACAACATCCAGAAAGAGTCAACTCTTCACCTTGTTCTCCGTCTCGCCGGTGGAAGCTTTTGACCACTTTGATATCTACTGCTTTGGTTTTCTTTTTCTTTTCTTGATATGTTTTAACTTTTTATGGGGTTCGTAAATGAATTCAACTTCAGAGTCTTTTCAATAATAATTCCAGTGTTTTGACTCGTTTATCTGTTCTATAATCTCAACTATATCACAACACTTTTGGGCTTCTGAAATCCTTGATAATGCACAATATGACAGTATTATTATTGAAGCAAACTTGGATGATTAAAGCTTTTTTACAAAAGAATATCTTCTCTATAGAACCAATCAGTATAGACTTGTTCACTTGTTTAAGAAACTCTTCTCTATAGAGAAAAAAAAACAATATACACTTGCTAACTTGTTTATATATATTCCCTTATGTTTAGCTGTTGGGATGATTAATTACTGCTTTGCAGCAGTAGAGTGCTCTTTTTGCACTTGGTCCCTATAAACATCTAAGTGCTTTATTCTTTTTTTTTTTTTTTAATCTAATTATGGTGTTTATAGTGCCAGGTCTCTGTGATGCAGGAGACGGTTAAGCTTAGTCCATTCTAGTTTACATGATATTTTCCTAATTAAGTGTTTTCCTTTTCTAATTAGGATTTTAGTAATTATCCTATTTTATGCATTAGGCTTTCTCTATAAATAGAGACCCTAGATCGTTTGTTTTGAACACAACTATTATTCATTCTTATTAATCAAAGTCTTGAGTTTTCGAGCTTTACCTTTTCTGGTGGATTCCAGAGCTTTTTCTTCAAGTTTGTCGCTTGCAAACTTGAGCTTTCAATTCCAAGACCAACGCTTGTTGTCTTGGTGCATTCCGACTGCGTCAAGTGGTATCAGAGCAGGCTATCTCCTTCTCTCTTCGAAGCTTGAACAGCTATGGGTGATCGACCGTTAACCGAAGCCAACATAGAGGGTTTAAGAGGTGAACTCGTCAATTTAAATACTCGGATGGCGGACTTGTTGACAGCGCTTAACAATCAGTTTGCGGCTTTACCCCAGCAGATTGCTAACGCGATACAAGGAGGAGGAGAACAAAGGGGACCAAATCTGAATCAACAAGGAGAAAACAATCCGGCTGTTGTGGTACCAGCTCGGGCCCAACAAGGTGGAAACAATCAACGACCCGGTGGAAACAATCGACAACAAGGCAGACACAATCGTGTGGTTGCTGACAATTCCAGCTCGGAGGAGGATTCAGAAGAAGAAGTTGTGGAAGACGAAGTTGAGCAGAGAAATCGTCAAGGAAACCATGACTACCGAGTCAAAGTTCAACGGAACCATGGGAGTTGAGGAGTTTTTGGATTGGCAGATCGACGTTGATAGATTTTTCGAAGTCATGGAGGTTCCTGAGAATAAGCAAGTTAAGATGGTGGCAATTAGACTGAAGAAAACTGCTGCCGTGTGGTGGGATAAACTAGTCGTTCAAAGGCAAAGACAAAGGAAAGGACCATTCAAGACATGGAGGCGAATGAAACAGCTCATGATGGAAAAGTTCTTACCTGAGGACTATGAACAGATTCTCTACAAGATGTACATTGAATGTGTTCAAGGAAAGAGGACCGTGGCAGAATATACAGCAGAGTTCTTGCGATTCTCAGAGCGCAATGATTTAGAAGAAACAGAAAATCAGAAAGTTGCAAGATACATCAGTGGGCTGAAGAGTTCTATACAGGAGAGGATAGGTTTACAAACTGTATGGACTGTACAAGAGGCTTCTAGTCTAGCTTTGAAAGCTGAGTTAATGGAGAAATCTCC